ATATATATATAAAAAATAGTAAAAAAGTATAAAAATATCTGATGATATGTTTGATTGGAATGAAATAGAGAAAATGTATATGAAAATAAGAGAATAATTAAATATAGTAATATAAATAAATAATAAATGTCAATTTTTGCATCTTCTCAAAAAGTATAAGAGTTGTTGAAACATGAAGGAAGATCAAATTCGATGCATTCATTTTATAATAATAGATCTTCATGTTACTCTACATTAAATTTGAATAGTTCTTTATGGGATTAATAGAATCATTAGCCAATGTCAATATTGACATCTAATAGAAGTGATATAAAACAGATGAATGGATCAACAGCAAAATAAGTATATATAATTATAATATAAAAGGATATAACAAATGAGATAGTATAATTTAAACATGATAGAAGATCATCAGTAGATATGTTTGTTCATTCAGGATTTGAAGCATATAAAAAATACTAAAGTTAACCAAGAAGAGATATTAAGATATATCCGAATTTTAAAGAGGAATTATTACATGAGGTAGTGAAGATAGAGAAACCATTTTATATTACTACAGTAGAAGAGATAGAGAGATATTGGAAAGCAAAAGAAATTATGTTATTAAGATAGAAAAATTAATTAGAATTTGAGATCAAGTTATAAGAATAATAATCAAATAAAAAGGCAATAATTTTAAAGGTGGAACCATTATAACAAATATCATAGATAGAAGTTTAAATATAATAATTAGAAATATAATTAAAGTATTTGTATTAATTAATGTTAGAAATAAGAATTACATCCTTAATGATTTAAAAATTTAAAGTGAAGAATTAGATATTCAATATGAAAATATATTAGATTAAGTTAATGATAAATAATTTATTAAATACGAAAAACAGTTAAAGAATATTCAATAATCATTTAAGGACTTAAATAGAAGATTTCATGAAACAGAAGAATAGATTATGATGAAAGAAAATGAAATTGAATCAAAAAAGAAATAAATATAAAGAAAATCTTCAATAATAATTCCATAAAACCTCAAAAAAACTCAATGACTGATTCTAAATTTATATAAAGATCATCTTTTAAAAGATAGAGTATAAACTCTGGAACCATGAGTCCTACTAGAGTGACATTCTCACAAAAAAGTTAACCTTCAGAGGAATTTATAAAATTTAAACATTGATATCAATAATCATTTTTATTCTATTTAAATATATTAAGATAATATAAATTGTTTCTGATATCATTTTCAATTTAAATATTTATAATAATAAAGTATTTATTAATAAGATCAGTATATTTTCAATTCTTAAAATAATCTTAAATATTAAATTTCATTCTATCTAATTATTTATTATTAAACTATGATATAATTATCCTAATTATTAATATATATCAGAATAGATCTTCATTAATTATTGGTTTCCACCATTTTAAGGTCTAATTCTATTCTTAATGACAAGGTACATTGTTTAGAATTCTTCCTGTAAATCTTACTCGAAATTAATTATTTCATCTCTTTTTCAAATCACTTGAAAGCTTATATTTAAATCTTAATACATTTCTATCATGCATTCTTACATTTTAGTTATATCTATATCCATAATGGTCATCAATATAAATATTATTTCATATCCTTTATAAGCCAATTTAATAAAAAAAAGATATATAAAAAAAACTTAATAATAATTTAAGTTATATATGTATAAATTTATTCAATTAATAAAGGTTTAAGAAAAATCCATTCCATTCCTAATTGATTAAACCATTCTAATAAAACTATTAATTGAATTTCTCATTTAATCAGAGAATTTTGATCCATGCCAAACTAATTTCTCAACTGCTAACATATCAATACGAGGAAGATAAAGTGGTTTATCAGTAAAAACTCCAAATATTGATTATAGTACAATGTCATAATCTGGCTACTCTTAAGAAAAATAAAATATAGATCTTGCATATTATTTACTCATTTTCTAAAATAAATTAAAAAAATTAACAGTTATACTGCTATTCTAATAAATTTTTCTCCAACTTATTAATAGTAAATTAGAAAAATAATTAATTTAATTCAAATACAATTATTGCTAAACTCTTATTGAACATAATACTCTATTATATGATCTATTTTAAAGTATTTAATTTCTTATAATTATTCTCTATTCTTATGTTTGAAGTCCATAAATATTAAAAATAAGTTTTTAAATCTTTTCTTGTTATTCTCCTTAGTCTTTCACTAACTCTAGACAACAAATATGATTTATAGTGTCAATAATAATAAATTCATGTCTCATAGCTTATCCTGTTAATGCCCATGTAAATATTGTTGCAATACCTGATGGAATATATTACCAAACTGATTAGCAACATCTATCTATTTAGATTATTGTTTCGTGCATTACTTCAGATAACTAAATATCATTTATGGGTTGGTTATTATATAATATTTCCTTACGAAATGACCCTCTTTGTAATTCCAATTCTTATTCTAATAATAGATTGATTCCTTAAGTTTATTATGTGTCTTATAACCTTACTAAAGATGTAATAGAATTCGCTAATAATGGAACTAATTCTATTAAAACATCCCCAATCCATGCAGCTTCAGCTCCTGTAATTAATGCTATCATATTTAGAAACTTTATTTTTATTTATGAATATATAATTGAAGATTGTATTTTTATAATGATGTTTAATTTTTAGATAATTTAAATTTTATAACAAAGTTTTTTATATTTCATTTTATAATTTAAGAAGATCTAACTTATTTAAATATCAATTTAAATTGAATATATAAGAAAAACAGTTATTTTTATGCATATTATCATTACTCTACTCTTCATCTTTAACAATCTGCTTAATAAATTTATTAAATTCATTATATTTTATATTACCTATTTATAATATTTTTACATTCTCAATCTTTTTTAGAAGAATATAAATACTTTTCTAAAATATTGTTAACTATTGAATATACATTATTTTTAATTGAACATAATAAATATAATAAATACTCTTATCGTAATAATTCTATTATTTTGTAATTAAATTAATGGATAACACAAAACTAAAGAGAGAATAATTCAGTATATTGTTAAGGGAATATTAGCGTTCGAATAAGTTTTAGTAAAATAGAAAAAGGTTAATTCAGATTCATTTGGAAGAATAATAAATAAATGAATTGATATCACAAACAAAAATAGCTATTCAAAAACTAGCTGATAGTTTAAATTACTTTGATTTTGATTCTCCAGGTTTTGAATTGTAAACTATGACAAATTAAGTAATGAATATAGTACCAGAAATTAAATAATGTATAGAAAATTTAAGCAATATTGAATTGTCTAACTTCGAAGGATTATTGAATAAATTTTGGAATGTATACTGTTATTTAGCTTTTAACAAAGATAATTCATGTTTTTTAGAAATGTTAGAATTGCTTACCTTATTTTGTTAAAAAAGTGTGCTATTTTGTGATACATATTGTAAATCTACCTTATACATAAATCTTTAAAAGATTGTACCTTCGTTTTCTTTATAGTATCAATTAGAATTTCTAAAATAAACAATTGAAATATAATCTCATTAAGAGCAGAATCTATTATTATATGATAAATTATGTGATATTATAAAATAAATGACAACATAAATTCAAGAACAAAAAAGCCTCGAATTTCAAAATAAAAAAATTATTTAGATAATCATAGAAATATTTTTAACTGCAAAAATAGAGAAAATTGATAAGGCTGCATTACAATAACAAATAAATACATATTTTACAACTTTATTCATTTCACTACCAACTTTAGATGAAATTCTTATAGGAGATGAATTATTAAATTATATAGAATATTTAAACAATAATAAAACTCTATTTAATAGTTCCACAATAGAACTAATAAATTAATTATCCTTTAATTCAAATCTGAACTAATATCCAGACGAAAAAACAATGGCCTTAGGCATTATTGGAGTTCTTATATCAGGTAATTTAACTTAATCAAAATACTATTTTGATAAATTTAGTATCCCAAATTTATCATTGGATTAAAAATTAATCTAAAACTTAAAATAATAACCTTAAGTTAGAAGAATGACAGTTTTTGTGCTTTCAAATATATTTGGAGAAATTTCATATGATAAAGTTGATTATTTTTAGAATGAAACTGCTGTTTAATTCTTATAATATGCAAGATAAGAGAATGATATTGAAGTCTTAAATGAAATTTTGTAAGCCTTGAGAAATTTAATATATCATATTTAAGACAATTATTTACATATTCTATTGCAATATGATGTAGTTTCTATCATTATAGATAATGAAAATTATATATTAAATTAATAATAAGTTTAATGTAAAATAATTTTATTATTTTAGGTTTACTTATGTTAATTCATAGATTTAATGAATATGACTCATCAACCTTACAGAATTTAATTTAATTTCCTAATTTTATATAGTATTTATGTTTTAAAGGTGTAGCTAATTTTGTAAGGAAAATGTTTGATAATTCCAAATTTGATTTAGCAGCCAGTTAATAGTTAGAAATAAGAAAAAATAACGAATATTAAAATAACCTTCTTAAGTTGTGTGAAATATTGTGTTGAAAAAATAAACCTTATTATATTTTTTAGAATAAAAATATTAATGAAAAATTTTAAAAGAATATTCAATTTTTAGGAAAAAAGTTTTTACTATTTCTTGCTTATTTATTATAAACTTTTGATTTCTCTTTAATTTATTTACGTTTTTCTGGCTCACCTTGATTATATCTAGTTAAAGCTACTTTACTATCATTAAATTAAACCTTAAATTTTAATTAAATTAAAATACTTCAAAATTTATCTTTTATAATAGTGATTTTTTAAAATTGAACAAAGGAGATAATTCATCTTAATTTTTAGTAAAGAAATTTTAAATTTTCATTAATTTTCCTAAATCAAGAGACATTTTTAATTAATTAATTTCTAATTTGCATTAATCTTTAAATTTCCATTAAGTTAAACCACAATTTTATTCAAAACTTGGAATATCCATATTTGTTGTTATTTATTCTATCATATAAATTTATATTAAATACCAGCTTTTAATAATTCTCCATTTACTTAATTATTATGCATTTAATATCTTACCAAAACATTATTAAAACAACCAAAAATATTAATTACATAAAATTCTCCTTTTTCTATAGACATCTACTCTTAATAATCAATAAATAAAGATTAATTAATTGATTATTGTTAAGTTTTTAATTTATCATCATCAATTTCTGGTAATTTTAATAATATTTTTTATTTTTTTAAATTGATATGTCCTTTCTAAAATGTAGCAATAAGATAATTATGATCTTATGAAGTTTCTGGTAAAACAAATTAAGAATTTTAAATTTTTATTGAATAATTAAAGTTATCTTTTTCTTTTAAAAAATCTTCTTCATGTTTAATTTATAATTATAAATCGAAATCCTTTTAATACTTTTCTTTCAATTCATCCAAATTTTTCTATAATATAGTTTCCACTTTCTATTGAAATGCCTAAAGTTCTTTAATGTATCTTGAAATCAAATAAAATCTAATATTTCTTATTGAAATTATTTTATTTTCTAAATTAAAAACAACAGTTTATTTATTATCAATAGGTTAAATTAAATTTGGATAAATTATTTATTCTCCTGTCAAATTTTAGGGTTTCATTTCTATTTGTTATATGGATAATTTAAGATTAGATTGATTTTTTTTATGAAAATAAATTGAATGAAATAGGAATAAAAAAAAATCCTTCTCTTATTCTTATAATTTGATAATCAAAGAATCAATTGTAAGTTCAGATGCAAATTTTTAAGTTTTCTTGTACTTACTGATTTAATTAACAAATATATTAACTTATTTTTCCTCTATATCAAAAACATAGAGTTCTTATTAAAATATATATTTCAATAAATGTTATTTTAATGAAATAGTTTCCTCTATATTGATAAGATAAAAACTATTAATAGCAATCAATAAATCTTAAATTTTTTATTAAGATAATATAATTTTAGCCTATTCTACTTATGCTTTTATTAATGGATATGAATTTTAAAATGATAAATTAATATGTAAAGCATATTTAGCTTTTTATCCTCCTATTTCTTTTACTGGCATAACAAATAAATTTTCTCTTTGTTTACCCATAATACTAATTTGAATGTCATCAACTGATAAACTGAGTTCTCCTTTTTATTTAGTCACGATTACCTTTTTTATATCAATCTTAGAAACTTAATTAAAATTAAATTTTATAATATCACATCTCAAAATTAGATCTGCTTCATGATCATTATTTATAGATGTTCTATTTTTAGGAATTTGAATACTATTTATTCCTTATGGATAATAACTTTGAGATGATCTCTTTTATATATTATTATATCTATATTTATCCATTAAGTATATTTATATGAAGACTTTCAATTAACTAAGCTTAAATGATGTTTCATTTGATTTCAAATAAATATTTTAAATAATTGCACAAATAATCATTTCATCAATAGTTTTTAAAGGATTTTCTTTTAATTTAACTTTACGCTATTCTTTTTTTAGAAGATCTTTATTTATTAAATTAAATGCATTTTCTTAAATATTCATTATGGTATTAATATTTTTTAAAATAGTGATAAGATTATAAGTAGCAAATTAATTGATAAAAGTAGCTTTAATATTTTCAATAGCAAAAAACAATTTCATTTTTTAATGTCTTTCCTAATAAAATTCTTCAGCCACATTCAATAGCAAATTAGCCCTTAATGGATTATGAAAATAGAATAATAAATATAATTAATCCTTATCATTTTATGAATCTGGTAAATTACGATATGAAAATTAATCTTTATCTTCATATTCAGCAAAATCATGATTAAACATTTCTTTTTCTTTGTTTCTGCAATAGAATATAAATTTGTCATCTAATTTATCACTTAAATCTTAGCAATCTTATACCAAAAGTTAAGGTTCAAATATAATATTAGTTTTTTCAATATCAGATTCATTAATCTCATCTATAATAGATTATTATTAATATGGTTAAAATTATAATTGGTCTTTAAAAGAATTATATTTTTCTATTTCTGGATTTTACAATTTATTAGATTGAGACATTTCTGGATTTATTGGAGTTTTTTTACAATGAATTGCAATAGTTTCCTTAAAATATCCCTTATCATGAGTTATTATAAATAATGGCATTTCAAAAGCAGTTATATAACAAATACTTTTACTTGCTTTAGGTGTACTTTTAAATTAAATTTATATTCCGAAATTCTTTTGAGTTTCAACAAATGTTTTATTTTTGTTTAATGATTTTGTAACTTTTTTTTCTATTTTTTTCTATTATGTTCTTTAAAAAATTATGTAATTTTCAAATTCAAATAATGAAAATAAATTTATACCATTCTAAATTTTTGGAATTAAACCAAATATAATATTTGTCAAATGTAAACTTTTGCGAAATCTTAAAATACAATGCTTACAATCTCTTTTTTATTTCTTATGATCCTTTTATAACATTAACAATTCTGCTCTCATTAAACTATCTTTACTCATCTAATATCTGAATTCTCGATATTTTTTCTTTTCTTTTTATTTCAATTTCTTATTTATAATTATCAATAATTCTATTAAACATATTTATGAATCATTAATTTAAAGATTAAAATATGGAATTTAAATGAATATTTTCTTATCTGTAATTAAAGGATGATTCTCTACTAAAGAATCAAATTAAAAAAGTAATAATCTTGATTCCAATATTATAGATTTTATTCCACTTATTTTATTTTAAGGTTTACTTTAAAACTAATTTTATTAATTTGATAATTTATCTTCCTATTAACTCTTAATGGTTATAGTATGTTTTATTGGAAATTAAATTGGCTTTTAGAGCTATTAACTATAGTTTCTTTGAAAATTTAATAAAGGAGAATTTTATTATTCTTTTCCGCTTTTTTAATTTTACATTTATTTTTCATAATTTTTCATTTCCTCATTATAATATCTATAATCTATTGAAAAATATTTATGAGCAATTTAAAACTATTCCAATACAATTTTTTTAATACAATACAATTTTTACTCTTAGAAAAATTAATCTAATTTATTCGTATCAACAAAAGTAAAAAATTCTATAAAATCTTTATTCTAACGCATCTTCTACAAATTTATAGTATTAATGAATAGATTCTTTAATTATAGTTTTAATTCTGTTTTAATTTTAGATGAAATAGAATCAGTAATTATTCTAATTTTAAATTTGTCAATCATTTTAAGTGAGAACTTTAATTTGAGTTAATTAATAGTTTCATTTGCTAAAGGTTTACTTTTTACAATACATTATAATAAATTATGATCTTCTTTGCATTATTAATAAGCTTGTGATTCAAAAATTTACTATTTCTGATTTTCTAAAAAATAAAGTAATGATGTTACTGCTTTTGTAGACAATAAAAAAGTAATTGCAGTTAATTTAACCTTAATTTTACTTTTTGATTTTTTAAAATTCTAATAAATAGTTTCTTTTGAATTAACTTTATTTAATTAATTATTTCTAACAATTTTATATTCAGGTTCTTTTCCTCTTAAATATAAAGATATTTATAATGCATATTTTTCTTAAGACTAATCTTTTTTTGTTTAAATTTATGTGAATGTCAATTTATCTTTTAAATTACTAATACATGTTGGTAGTATTAACACTCCAAATTATTCTATAAAAGGAATAAATAAAACTCTTCTAATAACATCAACAATTCTATTATGTGCTTCTTAAAGAAAGATATGCTTATTATTATTATCACAAATTATCCATTAATTTTGTTTTTCTTTTTCATTTATATTTATTGTAACATTTCTAAGAATATCCCAAAAATTCTTTTCATTTTTATCACTTTTCTCATTTGGGAATTATTATTTTGATATATGTATAAAAAATGGATCTTCTGGTTCCTATAAATCATCAAAATATTTATCATAAGCCTTAAATTATTCAGTTGTAAAATCTTAAAATCCATTTTTATCTTTTTCATAATCATCTAAAAAGCTTTTAATATTTTACATTTTATTATATTTCAAAAATTCTCCTAACATTTAATAACATATTTCACTATTAAGAAATTATTATGAATCTCTAGTAACAGATAGTTCAAAGATTTCATTAAAAAATTCACAATATTTAATTTAATTTTATTTGTTTTATAGTTTTACTTTTGTTTAAAATTCTTCAGAAGACTTTTTGAATAATGGAGATTATATAAAATTCTTCGGTTCTTTTTCATCCATAATTTTTAATAAAATACCTGGAGCAATTACTTTGATATCACCTATATAAATCTTTTCTTCTAATTCTTTTTATCCTTTATGTTATGGAGTTTATATAGCACCATTTTAATAAATATTTAATGGAACTCTAATTCCTATAAAACTAACCATAATAACAAATTTTGAATGTAAAGGTTTATCAGCATTTGAATTTTATTCAAAATTTTAATCTTTTTCACAACTTTTAGATGATTAGGAAATCTCTGAACCAACTCCATTTAAATCTTCCATATCTTCATAAAAACTATCTATATAATTAGCTTAATGAAATTATTAATCTTCATTTTATTTTATTGCTTCATTATATACTTATGTTAATGCATTTACCTATGATGATTATCTTGTTTTCTTTCTTGTAGATGTTTATTTTTTTAATAATTTAAGATGATATCTACATTAACAAAATTTAAAAATCTTTGTATTATCAGGTGTATATTTAACAAAATTAAATTCTCGATTCTCAAAAATTAAAATAAATATTGAATGAATTTTAAGTTTAAAATCAATCTTTAATTAATTTGGATGATTATTTTCCCCCTTTAAATAACTAGCTAAAACATTAGTTTTATCTCTTTCTAATATTTCATACAAATTTATTTTTTCATCATCTTCAAGTTCTATTGGAATATCATCAGTTCTTTTTGTATGATCCTTAAATGAATTTTAATTATTTATAGTGTTTGTCCATATTTCTAATAAAGGTTTTACACTTTAATCATTTTAACCATCTTTTGCAGAATTATAATATCTTTTTGCTTCCATTCTTATTTCTTAAAATGCCCATTCTCTATATTTCAATAAATCTTTAAGAGATAAATTATCTTCACAATTTTTAAATTTAATTTCATCCTTTGCTGTCCATTAAGAAAGCCAAGGTACCAATACTATATTTTATTTCCTTTTGTATAATTATATGTATCTTTTCATTGAGACTAATTTTTTATATGAAAAACTTAAATCAAGTTTCTAACTCTTTTATTTTAGAATGACAGAATTAATAAAATATTTCCACCATTCTGAATAATTATTTTTTATTTCTTTAGGCCTAAGATGAAAGTTATCTTAAATTATTTCCTAACATGATAGTACCTCATTCAATTTTATTAAATAATTTTTTTATTCCTTATTTAATTAAAAAATAATAGGAGATTTTATTAAAACCTCAAGAATCATAATTGGTTAGTTCAGTAATTCATAATTTTTATTAACAGTATACATTATTTCAATATCGATTGGCATTAGAATCATTTATGCATCTTTTTTAGTAAGGTCTTTGAATGAATCTTTTTTCAATGATACACTCAAATTATTTATTTATATTAATCTATATGTACTGTTTAGATCACTATTGAAATTCTATTTAAATTCACTATCAGTAGCTTTAATAAATGCATCAAATTTAATTCTCAAAACAGTTTTATATTCAAGTATTGAAGAATTGTAAAATCTCAAATTAAATTACTTTATAGTTATAGACATATTATTGAAAATGCCATCAACAATTTTTTGAATCCAATTAGGCGGAGATAATTTTTCAAAATATTTAGCCATTTATTCTTCCCATAATTTTAATTTATGTTTCTTTAAATTTTCAACTCCTTATTATTGATAATCCTTGCTTTGAGTAAATTAGTTAATCTCTTAGATGGTACAAACCAGTAATTCTACTCCTTCAATGATTATCTCTGGTTAATGTTTTTTATAATTAAGAGGCATCTTTAAAGATTAAAACTTCATAAACTTACATTTAAAGTAATGGAATTGATTTTGCCATCAATAATATAGAGCGGAAATTTGAAATTAAGTAATGCTTATTTTTTAATTGACAAATTCTTTAATACAATATTAGAAGAAATTCCTAAGGAAAACTTAAATAATAATATAGATATATTATTACTTTAGCCATATTATTTTGAGAGAAATCTTATAAATATTCTAAAAGATAAGAAGACAATCTTTTAATAAAGTATTCTTCAATTTCTTTAGACATTTATATTATAAAAAATATATATATATATATAATAATAAAATATGAGATTGATTTTTTTCAAAATTAATTTTTTAAAGTTGATCCCCTCGTGCTTTTTCTAAGAAGATTAATAGCTTGAATGGATGGTTTAGGTGGTGTTTGTTCAATTTTTAATTTCATATTTTTAATAAATCTTTTAGCCATCATAACAGTCCAAAATTTATTATCTTTATCTTCAACTTTGTTATTAGATTTATTATTAATAGATTTTTTAGGAAGATTTTAAGTGATTTCATAATGTCTTTCTTTTTAAGTATTAAAATCAATTTATTTTCTTCTCATTTCCTCAACTTCATGTTAAAGTCTCATAAAAGTAATAATGTCTTGACAATCCATATCAACACAAATTTCTTTATCTAATTTATATTCTTCTAAAATAGCTTTATCATTATTAACGAAGTTTTAATTTTGACATAAGCTTCTTAAAAAATCAATGTCTTTTCGAACAATTGGGTATTTAGTAATTTTCATAGCCATGACTTTCTATTTAGCAATTTATGCTCTAGACTAAAAATGAATGAAAAATAAGTAAAAATACTTATGATATTTAAGGTGATTTTAAAATAGTAGGAGTTGTTAAAGTTTTAAGATTCTATCCTGCCAAATGATTTTCTTCATCATATGCATTTGGTTCATTTATTTCCTTATGATGAGATTGATTTACACTATTAGAAGACTCAAAACTATTTGAGCTACTTGAATCTGAAACTTAAAGTATATATTCTTTTTCTTTCTTCTTCTTATATTCAAGTAATTAAAGTGTTTAATTGTCTGGATCTGATACACTGTCATCAGAACCTTTTTCAAATTGAATTAAAGTATGAAACCGTTCTCTTTCATTAGGGTCTTAAAGTTTTTGAATAATTTTTTTCTTTGCATTTTGGAATTAGTATTTACACTTTTCTTATATAGATTTTCGTGATTCTGTTTAAATTCTCGTACGATGAACTGAATCCTTTGTCATCCTCATCTCATTGCTAATTATTGTCTAAAATTTATAGGCTCCAAATCCTACTCCTAATTGATTACTCATATATATGAAATTAATATATGAATTAAAAAAACTTTACATTGATCAAATAAATTGATTATTTATTATACATATATAATTATGATATATTAGTATAAAATTATAAGATACTCATTATTAAAACTAAATCTTCTTCTTTTTTGGTTCATACATCTGTAATTGTTCTTTTTACCAAATGAATTATCTCTAATCAGCTGGAGTCATACGAAGTAAAATGTGAGTCTAAAAAGATTTATAATATCTAATTACCCTTCTTGTTTAATGCAACATTGTTTTACCTTCAGGATTCTCACTTACAGATTCCTCATAATTTAAATTCATTTTATTCCAAGGATCAGCTTTATTTAAAATCAAAAAATAAGCAATATTATTTTATTTGTGAATCAATGCAAGATACAAAGGAGTTCTACCTACGATATCTTAAGAATCTGGATCAGCTCCATAACTTAATAAGATCTTTGCAGTAGATTCTAAACCTCTCATTGCAGACCAATGTAAAGTAGTCATTAATAGATGATCATATTCATAAACTAAATATTTATTATTCTCTAACAATTAAGTGACTTCCTTATCCTAACCCTATTTGCATAATTGAAAGAATTGTTTCGATAAAGTATGCTCAAAAGGCTTAGATGGAAATACTTTATGCGATAAAAATTCATTAGTTGTTAATTTTAATTTTTCTAAATGTCTCAAATATTAAATTAATGATGCCCTTATCGCCTTGTATTTATGTTTTAATGGAATGTTTTCAGATGGGAATTTTTAGAAATTAAGCAGTCCTCTAATTTATTTACTTCCATAGAGTTTGTTCTATTATATATATGTTATTTACATTAAAATCATCAATTTCAGAAGAATCTCTGAATTTAGAAAACTAATTTTGATTAGGTGTTTAAAAAGTTGATATTTATTAAGGTTAAGTTTATTTAGTAAGTATATCAGTTTTGAGATCATTACTTGTGATATCATTAATGAGTTGATATTTGGGATCGATTGTAAGTGAATGATACTTGGTGGCGGTTTAATTTGGGCGATAAGTTTAAGATTTAATGATTTAGGATTATTTGGAGAGAATTTAGGGAATTTTTTAATTCAATTTGACTAGAAATCTTTATGGTTTATGATTAAATGGTAATTTTTTGGTTTACATAATTTAAGAAGAGGAAGGAGTATGAGTTTTAGTTGTACTTTTACAATAATAATGATTAGAAGTAGGAAGAGTTGATATTTATCTAATGTGGGTATTACTAAATGGAATATCGCACAATAATGAACTTAATAAGATAGGATGATTCTGAATAAATTGTTAATTAGGTTAAAGTGACTTAAATTTATTTTTTCTAAGAGTTGTAGGCATTGAGGCATGAATTTTATCAAGATTTAATAAACGAATTTGGTTTGTTTTGGTCAATCTATATAAATGAATATGAATACTGGTTTTCAGTCTTGTTTCTTTTCATAAAATTTTAAAATATAATAATAATGGATAAGGACATTCATGTTCATAATATTATATGTATTACATTACAGATCATAAATTAATTATTAGAAACCAAAGAAGATCACTATGGAAAACTAATAAATCTAATAGAGAGTTTTATATCAAAAGCATAGGCATTTTCTTAACTTAACCAATTTTATTAGAATCTAAAGTTCCAATTAAATTATGTGGCCATAAACTCTTTATTTAAGTAGTTCATATTCATGACTAATGCTCAAATTTGTTGAGATTAGTTCAATTTACAGGATTTCCTAAAGAAGCTTATTATTTATTTCTTAGAGATAGGTATAAACTATCTCTCTTTACTATTTGCTTATAAAATTTGATATTCTGAGTATCTCTTCTTTTCTCATAGAGAGTACTCTCTTAAATCAATTTTATTTACAGACTTATAGATTCTATGATTATTATAAAAGGAAATATTAAATAAAATTATGGAAAACGTTCATATATTGATTTAATTGTTTACTCATCTGTGCAGTTATCAAAAAATATATATATACACTTTAAAGATTAACACTTGAATTTAATAAATTAGGAGATTAATTGTAGTCTTAAGACTCTGAGTTATTATGTGTTTGGTTGGTGTATGAAAATATAGGAAAAGTTAAGTTACTTAGGCATTTACTATCTATATTGCGATAGAGATATCTCTTTTATTTTTGGACCTGATGTCATCTTCAGATATGGATGTTGTCTTTAGAGTAATCAAGTTTTTCAAGAAGATTATGAATTCTTAACCAACAGATAATTAGATCAGCACAAAATTATTCTGATGAATTCAATAATTTAATATAATTAATTTAGGAGCATTAATGATTATTGATGAAACATTGATGTATTTATTTCAAATATTAAAAGATAAAAAGAGTTAACAAAAATATGTTGTTTTATATATTTTAATAAATATACATAATCTTTCTCTTTTTTTAACTCTTATTATTACTAAATTGTTGAATTAATAAATATTCTTCACTATGTTTTTGAAATCTATTATAATTCAATTAAACATTATTTAATTATGTTTTTAATATTTTAGTAATTAAATTATTTTTAGAAAGATGATTTTATTCTGAATATTTTAATTGTAGAGAACCAATATTTTAAATAAGAATAATTTTATAATTCAATCATTAACAGATGTAAAATCTAAAAATCTATTAATATTTTAATAACTATTATTATTAAAAATAATTTATTTTATTGAAATGGACACACCACCATAAAATAATTCAAAACATAATGTTGATGATGATTTTAGACATGATCTTTGTTAAAGAATTTATGCAAAAACTGGAAGTAATGTTAAAAATTTAAATTAGAAATGACTCATGGTCAATATTAATAATCAAAATAGCTTTCAGAAAAAGATTAATTACAAAAACTGTTTAATGATTTAAAGGGATAATTAAAGTATATAGAAGAAACAAATTGGATGTTTGAAGGATTGAATAATGGCAATGATAATTTTTGAATATACATATAGAATGATAATCGTACTTATATATGATTATAAATTTATAATTGATAAGAGTTTTTATAAAGTGAAATAGTAGTAAAAATTGTAAGGGAATAAAGAAATGAGTAAAAATGGATTATTAGAAAATGGAATGGAAAATATAAAAAAATCAGTTAATTTGATAAGTAATGAAAAGAGTCATAAAAATGGAATAAAAGTAGAGAAATGGAATAAATGAGGATGAAATAGATTATAAATAAAATATGATAGTAATTTTGAAGTAGTTACTTGTATTAATTTATATTATTATTAATGGACTCATTATAAATACAGAAGTAACTTATGGTTGAGTAATTGAACAAATTGGAATACATGGATAAAATCCTACCATTGCACAAGGATGAAGTTTAAGCAGAGAAGAAATTGTAGGTTTAGATAAATAGTCTGAATTTCAAAAGGATAATCGAAGGATAAGAGAATAATAAATTGATGGCAGAAATAGAAGAGTCGAAATTAGATGTTTAAAAGAGTAGACATAAGGCATTTTAGAAATATTTTACATCATTTATGACAGATAAGTAATAGCAAGATGTGAATATTCTTGAATTCAATTAAAGTGATTTTGAAGTTTTTTAATAAATGAAGGAGAGATAAAGATAATTGGCATAAGAAGATCTAACGATAGCACGTTAGAAGGAGAAGAGCAATTAAATATTTGAATAGAACTTAATGAAGAAATGGGATAGAGTTAGGAAAAGTAGTATATTGAGTTATTCTAAGAATTACGAATGATAGGGAGAATGAAAAGATTATATGATGAAGTAAAATTGTATGGTACAAGTTGTAGAGTGGAAACATCAATAAAGAGACATGAAGTGATCTAGGAATTGGAGTAAATGTTAAATAAATAGAATCAATAGATAAGTAAACCGATGCCATAGAAAAATAGTATAAATGATATAATAATATAGAACACTTATTCTTGCCAGATTCATAATTTAAAAAGTATTGGCAATATGTTCTAATGATTCTATTGATGTATACAGCATTTATTACTCCAATTCGATTAGCATTCATAGAAGAATTCAATATGATATGGTTTACTTTGGAATTAATAGTAGATATGTTATTTTTATTGGATATCTTAATCACATTTAATACAGCATATTTTAATGAAGAAGGAGTTCTTATAGCCGATCGTTAATAGATTGCTATATAATATTTAAGAACATGGTTTATTTTCGATTTAATGGCAATATTTCCTACTGATTAAATTTTTAATAACGAAGCATAAAAATTATCATAATATTTTAAGTATTGAAATGATATAAATAAAATAGATTGACACGATTGCCGAGAATGTATAAATTGATAAGTATTAGTAGAATGTGGTCAACAGTATAGAATTCTTAGAATCATAATGATTGTTTTTCAGCAATTTAAGATTTAATAAATTTAAATTCAACTACTGTAAGAGTATTGAAGTTCTTTGGAACAGTTCTTGTTTGTGTTCATGTAATGGGTTGTCTTTGGTATTTGGTTGCAAAACTAAATAATTTTGAGCCAAATACATGGGTCTATGAATTGGATTTACTAAACAGAAGTGAATATGAATTGTATTTAACATCAATATATTGGGCTGTGGCTACTATATGTACAGTAGGATTTGGAGATATCCATGCCTTTAATGATAGTAAAGCATGAATATTTACTTAGCTGAAAGAATTGTTTGTATATTTTGGATGTTTTTCGGAGTTGGCTTTTACTCCTTTACCGTTGGTTCTCTATCGACTTTAATGGGTACCTTAGATACTAGAGAATCTCATCTATAGAGCAAGATTACATTCATGGACGAATTTTGCGAAGAGACCAGATTATCATTACAAATGAAACACAAAATTAGAAAGGTATTAGAATATAATTCAATGATTAACATATTCTCATCTGCTGAAGTTGATGAATTTCTATCAGAAATACCTACTAATCTTAAATATTAAATTGCATAAGCTATGTATGCTGGTCTTAAAAATAGAGTATCTTTTTTTAAAAATAAAGATTCCGTCTTTATATCTACACTCATACCCAAATTATAACCATTGAAAATTAATGCTGGAGAATTCGTATATAATAAAGGAGAATATCCAAATCAAGTCTATTTCATCGTTAATGGAAGAGTCAATATGGTTATAGGTGTCTATTCCATCACTTTTAAAACTTATGTAACAGGTAGTTATTTTGGTGAAATTGAAATCTTTGATAATAGTGCACGATTTCATTCTGCTAGAGCTGAATTAGAATGTGAATTATTAGCTATTGAATAGGATGTATTTAAAAAAATATTGTAAGCCTTCCCAGAATATTTTGAAGAAATTAAAGCTATCTCTTTAGAAAAATTAAAAAGAGAAAAAGATTCCATTGAAAAATTATAAGATCTAACTGGATTATCATAAACCTCTGAATTCTTTAATAAAAAAAGAACTCAATCTATCTACAAATCAATTAAATAAAGAGAATCTGTTCATTTCATTGATAATAGTGAAGAATCTGAATAAGATGTTAAATCACAAAAATAAAGTAAACCAAGTTTCTTTAAAAAGAAAACTAATCATCTAATACCAGAAGAAACACTTACTACAAGATTACATACATAAGAAGATACTTCTTAAAAAAATCTTGTTATTTCTGAAAGTCATTAAAAAAATTAATAACTAGAAAAAGTTATAACCTTATCAATTCCAGATTAAATTAAAAGAGATGCTGAATAACATAATATTAAATTATTTGGATAAATCCCTCCTGTAATATCTTAATTCAATGAAGATCTTACATAATCTAATAATCTTTAAAATAATCCCAGAATTAAAAGTGAAGAACCAAATCGTCCTCCTAAATAAGTTAGATACATTAGTCACAATCTAAGATTTAGTCCAAAAAGAAATGAGAATAGAAAACCATCCATCCAAGTTTCATCAGCTATTGATATCACAGGTTCTGATACACCATTAATCTCTTCAGTAAGATCTAATTTTATTAAACCCTCCATTAAAATAGATGAAGCATCTCATGAATCAGAAGGCTCCATTAAAAACTCTTCAAATCCTTAAAATACATTATCTAATGCTTAATCTCCTAAGATTTCTCCAAGAAGAAATTCTATTCTATCCAAATTCCCTAAACCATCTCCCTTTTAAAAATAATAGTCAATCTTTAAAGCTGTTAGCAATCAATACATTGAAGCTAGCAAACTTAAAAATCTACCTAGATTAGGTGGATTTAGAAGAACCTATAGAAAAGAAAGAGAAATTGAATATCTGGAGGAAACTGTCGAAAATGAGGATTATACTTAATTACAATAAAAATTAGTAGAGTTATTAGAAAAAATAAAAAAATAAAAAGAATAATAAAAGACTAAAAAATCTAAAATATAATTCAACATTGTGAATCCATTGCCTAAAAAAATTGTATTGGAATAAAAAGATTCTATTAGTATTTCAGATTTACCAGATTTTGAAAAATAATAATTATCTAAATAAGATAGTAATAGTAGTGGTATATTAGAATGATATCACATAAATTTTTCATCTCAACTTAATTATTTATTTATAAATTTTTTCATATTCTTCTGAATCTCCTTATATTTTTAAGCATTTTATAACATAAACAGAGTCACATAATAGAGCCATAGTAAATGTCATTACAAAATCATTCTTACTAATCTTTAATTCAAATTTATTTTTTTTAACATCATAATTTTAAGATTATAAATGAGTAATAATTTTTTGAGTTATTTTTTATGGATCTACATAAACAAGTTAATTAATATGGTATGGACCTTCATGTTATTTTATAACAATTAATGGACTCTATGGTCTTTCGTATGAATGTTAATTATTGAAATTAGGTGCTCTATAAATAGCAGATCTTTATGGAGTTTTTAATGGTCTTGGTTTTAATGGTGCAGGTGAACGATCTTAATTTTCAAAGGCTCTTTATTTAAATTGTAGGGCTTTTAATTTTATTTATTCAACTGTAGGGAATAAGGTTTCAGGTTTTTTTTCAATACTAAGTGAAACTTATCTCGCTCTAGAATTACAATCATATTAATTGTAATTAAAATGTGATTAATAGATTGGAGTATTATTTAAAGATGTTTGAATAGAAGGTCTTTCAGGAAAGGGAATTTAAACAGAAATATTCATATTATTGCTAGTATCATTATCTTATACTTAATCTTGATTGATTTCAAATTGATTGTTATTTACAGGATTTATTTATGATAGGTTGAAATTTAAATTTTCATTGACATCAACAATATCATTTTAATTTTGGGTTTCTGCTATCTGTGAAATTCTTTCTTGTTAAGAATTTTGAATATTATAAACTTTTAGAGAATTAGTTGATTTTTATTCTTGTGTATTTCGTGATGGAGTTTTATTTTCCTTAGTGTCAACTTAACTAATTCTTTGAGATTGAATGTTAGAAGTTTCTTTAAGTATAGCTACTTGAGGATGTTAAGAAGGAGGAATTTAAATTAATTTATATTAAAAAGCTTCCTCTTAATCTTTCTACTTTTCTCGTAAATATTTATTTAACAATAAATAATAAGTAGTAGTCACAGGATCATGTTTATTGGCTTTTAAATAGTCATAAGCTTAAGGTAATTTGAAATTATAGGTAGCTAATTATTGTAAAACTTCATTGCAAATATTGATTTCTCCATAACCTGGTGTAAGAATAGGATTAGTAATGCAGGTTTGAATCCAATAATGTTTAACTATTTATTAAATATTGTATCTTTTAAGAGGATCAACTTGTAATATTTTTTCAAGTAGATCCTTACATAAAGGACTCATGTATTTTGGAGCAGCATATTCTCCATATATGATTTTTTTATATAGTTGAGCAGTATTAGTATCTTCGAAAGGTAGGTATCCATTGACCATTGCATAAAGAATAACTCCACAACTCCATGTGTCTGCAGATTTTGGATCATACTCTTTACCAGCTATCATTTCAGGAGCTGCATAACAAGGACTGCCACATGCGGTTTTAAGTAATTGCCCTTCTTTAAATTGATTTGAAAGACCAAAATCCACAATTTTGATCTTGTTATTTTCATCTAATAGTAAATTCTCAGGTTTTAGATCTCTAATATATTTTATTATGGGTACCTATGCATAACATAATTATCATGCATATATTGAACTCCTGAAAGTATTTGCATCAAATATTCTGCTGCTTCCTTTTCATTTAATCTTTAGTTCTTAATAATAACTTCAAACAATTCTCCTCCAGGTGCATATTCCATAATCAAATATAAAGAGTTTGTATTTTAAACTATCTTTACATAATTGTCATCTATACTTCATAGATCTATATTATATTAGGATGACGTAGTTTTTTAAGACAATTAATCTCTCTTGAAATTCTTTCATAATCGATGCCTTCTTTCATTTTATCCTTCTCTAAAATCTTTATTGCTACAGTTTCATTCGTAATAGTATGTTGACCTAATCGCACCTATCCAAAAGTTCCTTCTCCTAAAGTTTTACCCAGGATGTAATTTCCTATTGATTTAATACTCATTCAAAAATTAAATTAACTGATGGGAAGTGTTTGTAAGAAACAAGATGCTGAAAATGAACTTAATAGTTTAATCCCAAAAAAGAAAGGTGACACCATTACCATATTATAAAATCATGGAGGAGGCTCTTAAATCATCTAAAAAAAGAGAAGCACTGGAAATAAGGGAGATTATGAACCAGATGCAGTTGTAGAAAAAGTTGATGTAGAAGTATCTAATAGTATATTATAAAAAGCTTAAACGTAATGATAAAAAAAAACTTGTTAAGGTTGAAGCTCGCTAAGATTAAGAGGAAATAGTAGAAAACATCTAAAAAAGTAATAAAAAGAAGTCACCTTTTGATTACTAACTTATCTTAAATGCATTCACTACAAATTCTCTCTTCTAATCCCTTTCTCAATAGGAACAGTACAAAATATATTTATATTCCATTCAGGGAAGCTATTTTAGAATAGATGTTCTATTGCACTACGCCAGATGGTCAATTTGTATTCAGATAAGGAGATCTTAAGGCAAGTTCCTTTTTTTTAATAGGTATAATTATTACCTTATATGAAAAAAAGAACGTGGTTAATGTTAGATAATTATAGATGGAGAAGTAAAGAAAGTATTGAAATAATCTGATTCATTTGGTGAAAGGGCGCTTTTATATAATGCTCCTAGATCTGCATCAGTTAGAGCAGTTGGAGATTGTGCATTTTGGGCTATTGATAGAAATCTGTTTAGAAAAATGATAGAAGACATGAGAATGCATGAGTTTGAAGAGAATAGATAGTTCGTAGAAAATCTTAAATCTTTTGGTAAAGTATCCCACTCATCGATTAGAATTTTTAACGTTTGATTAAAGATCAGCCATTTCGAGTGTATTATTTACTGTGCAATTTAAAAAAGGAGAAATTATAGTATCATAGGGTGAATCAGCAACTTCATTTTTTATTATTAAGAAAGGATCTGTGTCTGTGATATAAAATGATAATGAGATAAGAAAAATGAAGAAAGGTGAATCATTTGGAGAAATGGCTTTATTTTAAAATTCTACAAGAGGTGCAACAGTAAAAGCAGCAGAAGAAGATGTTAGATGTCTGGTTATTACAAGAGATGAATTGACTAAAATTTTGGGAGATAAAATATAGGTCATTATGTTTACTAATAAATAAATATGGGCAATTGAAAAACATTAGATTTTAGGATAATTGACTGAATTGTAAATATAAAAGATTGTTTAAAATATGAATCAATTTAATTATGAATAAGGAGCAATTGTATTTGAAGAAAAAGTATAGAAATTAGTGATCGTTCTTAAAGGAGAATTAATATTTGTAATTTATACATTTATACTTAAGGCAGACTGGGTCTAAAATGAAAGCCGCTAGTGAAGGTTAAGTTTTTGGTGATGCCTATTTCAGCAAATAATAATTAAGTGATCCAGTTATTGCAAAAGACAAATCTATATTAGCAGAAATTGATTTTAAACGATTTGAAGAAGTCATTGGTGGTTCTTTAGATTAAGTCATTAATAAAAATTAAAAAATCAATGAAAAGTAAATCAATTAACTATTCTTTTTTATAGACATAAGAAGTAAGATAGTTAGAAACATGATTATTCTCATCTAAAATTGGAAGAATTTACTTCATTGAAGAAATTAGGATAAGGACAATTTGGAAATGTTTATTTGGTTAAAAATCCAAAAGATAATCCTCCACATTTTTATGCATTGAAATGTATATCTAAAGCATAGATTGTTGATTAACATTTAGAAAAGCATTTAGCATAAGAAAAATAAGTATTAACATCTGTTCATCATCCATTTCTAATGAAGTATTATTGTAGTTTCTAAGATTCCAACCATGTTTTTTTCCTTGTAGAATTCATTAAAGGAATGGAACTATTTGATGTTATTAGAGATATTGGATTATTAAGTGCTTTTGATACTCAATTTTATATAGGATCTCTAATTCTCTGTATTGAGTATCTTAATAAATAAAAAATTGTTTACAGAGATATCAAACCTGAAAATATAATGGTTGATGAAAAAGGATATGTAAGATTAATTGATATGGGAACAGCAAAATTCTTAAATCATAAAGGTGGTAGAACTTATACTATAATTGGAACTCCTCATTATATGGCTCCAGAAATCTTATAAGGAAAAGGTTATACATTTCCAGTTGATATTTGGTCTATTGGAATTTGCATGTATGAATTTATGTGCGGATAAGTTCCTTATGCTGAAGAAGCTGAAGATCCATATGAAATATATGAAGAAATCTAAAAAAAACAATTATCCTATCCTTAATTTCTCAAAGATAGAAAAGCCAAAAAATTTATGGAGTAATTACTTAATAAAACACCTGAACTTAGATTAGGAGGATCTTATGCTAGTCTCAAGGCCAATCAATGGTTTGATCAATTTGATTGGGTATACTCATTTTTTTTATTCAGGACAAACTCTTCGATAAGGAAATGAAACCTCCTTATTTACCACCTCAGTAGAAAATGCCATCTACAAATAAAGATGTATAAGGCACTCCAATCATGAAAGAACTATAAAATTTAAATGCCCCAATCTATAAAAAAGAAAAAGCTAAAGATCCTAATTGGGATTAAGAATATTGAAGTATTTCATGCACAAAACTTTTTTATGAACAATTTTATTCAATATCCTAATTAATATAAGTACAAACAATCTTAATTACAATTCTCTAAATTAAATAAATAATAAGTATAAAATGACAATCTTCTTTCATAAAATCCTAGATGCTGAAACTGAGAGACAATATAATACCTTTCAAAGTTATTCAACCAATAAAATCTAACATTAATAAAAATTACTAATACTTACTTTATTATGTGTCTTTATTATTTAAAAAGGTATTGATTAAAGTTGGGTTTCGTTAGCTTTCAACATATTTGGATTTATCTTTATTATTATCTCCTATAAATACGTGAAAAAAACATCTATTTATTATAAATACCTACACTTGTTTGTTGCTTTGATATTTAACTTTTTTTATCCATTTAATCGTTACATGGATATATCCCCAAACCAAGATACTTATCTAGATGGATACTTTATTTGTCTAGGAACACTTTCGTAAGATATCAGTTAAACTTAGAATCCTTAATTCTGTTGAAATTTAAGCCAAATACATTATAATGATACCAACTCTAGCGTTTAATTTATATGTCGGTCCCTATGAGAATTATACCTTTTGGTCATAATGTTTAAAGTTTGCTATCATGATTTTTATGGATATTCAATTCGGTATTCAACAAGAAATCTTTAAAAGAAAATAATTTTTTAAATTAAACATCAATAAAATATTACAAAATTATTTTAATTCTTAAGATATGTTTGATATCTTTAAGGTTAAATTTGATGAAGATATTAAATCTATTAAATTATCATCTTTATTAGAAAAACAAAAATTTGACGAATTTCAATAATTAGACTTTAAACAAAGAATACGAAAGATATGTATTTAGCCTAAAAAACAAAATAATTAATTAAATAAAAAATAATAATAATATAAAAATTAAAATACCTAAATTAATTTAGAAACATTTTTACTATACTTCCTAAAAGATATAAAACCTAAAAAAGATTTTTAATTTTTTGAGCATTTAAATAGAAATTCTTCTCAAGTAGAACTAGAAGAATTTTTAATAAATAATCTTGGATAGAATGATATCTCTACATCAAACTCTAAATAAATAGTTATTTATAAAATTCATCACTATAAAACTCCTTAAGCTTTAATTATTATTAAACAACATCAGTTTTCTACAACAATGAAAAAATTAACAATTAAGTTAGAAAATTATAAACTCATAATAAAATATTTTATTTCTATCCTTAATTCTTCTTATAAAAAAGGTTTATCAAATTTGTATGATTTCAATCAAATATCCGAATTTAATATAAATTTCTAGTAAGAAAGTTTATTCAGAGAACATCTTACATAATTAAACAAGGCTTGGAATTCATTTAGAAATATGATAGATTTTATACAATTACCTTGTGACATAAATCCACTGACAACTTTTAATATATACCACTTGCTTGAATAAGTAATAAAATCAGTCTCATATTTGAACCATGATAATATTGCAGAAATAGAAATTATCAATAAATTGAACAGTTCATTTGTTGTATCTAACAAAACAAAAATGAAGTAACTTTTCTTAAACTTGTTTTACCATATTTTAGGTTTAAATTTTGGGAGGACTTATATCTGTTTGGAAGAGGATTAAAATGATAATGTTATAAAAGTAAAATTTAGGTATTAAAGTAATATACTTTCGAATAAAGAGTCGCAACATTTTCCAATTATAAATCCTTAGTCTTTTTCAGATTTAAAACATAACTCAAAAGGAATATCTAACCTAGAAATACCAATAAGTATTTGGTTAGTTAGACTATTGGGACCTAAAGATAAAATAATAATAAGAAAAAGGAAATAATTTTATGAATTAGAATTTGATTTATACAAAATTTTAACTTCAGATATGAGTTTACAATAACACTATAATTTAAGAGCAGAAAATTAAATAATAATGTGTTCGGAAATTTAACCATTATTCACAAATTGTGTTTCAATACAACCATGCTTATCTTGATACTGCATTTATATATTCTCAAAATGAAGCTTACAAATCTTCGTTTTATAATTTGCTTAATTTAATCCATTTTTTAATTTAAATAAAACAAATAAATTTATTAACTTCTAATGATTATTTCATTTAATATATTTTTGAACTAAATCAGAACAATCCAATTTAGAAATCTATTTTACTAGGTAATTTTTCGAAACATTTTATTTTATTTTAGTAATATCATTTTAAAGCTCTTAGTATAAACTTTTTTTCAAGAAAATACTTCTGCTTACATCTCTTAAAATGTCCTTTTTTTCTTTAATTTAAAATTGAACTACACTGCCAGATCTTTATTTTTCAAGGACTTTATTTACTTTCTCTAACTATTAGAATTTAACTTTTTCTAAATTTACTAAACTTCGAGATTTATTATTCTTATTTAATTGAGGTTACAATAATTTAGTTAACATTTTTTCTTAATTATTTTCATCTAAAAAAGAAATATTATCTTGTTTTTGAAATTCTATTTACTCTTTTAAATTCTTTCTTTTTTTCAAGTTTGATGTTTAAGTTGAAGAAGTTTAAGAATTTTAAGAATTTTTTCTGAATCTATTTTATTTTTCTATATATTTTTCAAGATATTTTTGTGTTTCATCCATTTTAAACTATGATTAGTTTAATATAACATTAGCTTTCTAGTTATCCTATTAACCAATTCGATTTGCATGAGATTTATTTAACTTTTATTCAATTTTTTTATAAAGTTAATTGCATTATTCTATTTCTTATTATTTTAACTGTTAAATTCTGTCATTGGTCTGTTTTTATTTTACACAATCTTTAAAACCTTTCTCTCTTTACTTAATTTTGCTTTGACTTATCCCTCTTTATTCTTCTGACCTAATTAAATTAGTATTTTTACTATAGCATTTCCCTTTCCAAATTTTCCCTCTTTTTTTAAAATGCGTTTTCTTGCTATTCTAAAATTTATTCTTAATGCTTTTTTGCAATGAATTCCGTTTTTTTATTAAAACTATGCGCTCTATCGCTAACAGTTTTCAAAGATTTTTTTCTTAGATTATCAATCCTTTTTTTTTCTTCCTCCATTAATTTCTATTCATTAATTTGCTTTAATTCTTCTTCAAGCAATTCTTTAATTTTATTTTTCATCATTTATTCATTTCTTTCTCTTTTAAGCTGCTATAATTCAAGTTTTTTATCTAATTAAGAAATTGCATTTTCAATGTTTTAATTAATAAGAACATCACTTTATGTATAATTTTNTTTAGTAATATCATTTTAAAGCTCTTAGTATAAACTTTTTTTCAAGAAAATACTTCTGCTTACATCTCTTAAAATGTCCTTTTTTTCTTTAATTTAAAATTGAACTACACTGCCAGATCTTTATTTTTCAAGGACTTTATTTACTTTCTCTAACTATTAGAATTTAACTTTTTCTAAATTTACTAAACTTCGAGATTTATTATTCTTATTTAATTGAGGTTACAATAATTTAGTTAACATTTTTTCTTAATTATTTTCATCTAAAAAAGAAATATTATCTTGTTTTTGAAATTCTATTTACTCTTTTAAATTCTTTCTTTTTTTCAAGTTTGATGTTTAAGTTGAAGAAGTTTAAGAATTTTAAGAATTTTTTCTGAATCTATTTTATTTTTCTATATATTTTTCAAGATATTTTTGTGTTTCATCCATTTTAAACTATGATTAGTTTAATATAACATTAGCTTTCTAGTTATCCTATTAACCAATTCGATTTGCATGAGATTTATTTAACTTTTATTCAATTTTTTTATAAAGTTAATTGCATTATTCTATTTCTTATTATTTTAACTGTTAAATTCTGTCATTGGTCTGTTTTTATTTTACACAATCTTTAAAACCTTTCTCTCTTTACTTAATTTTGCTTTGACTTATCCCTCTTTATTCTTCTGACCTAATTAAATTAGTATTTTTACTATAGCATTTCCCTTTCCAAATTTTCCCTCTTTTTTTAAAATGCGTTTTCTTGCTATTCTAAAATTTATTCTTAATGCTTTTTTGCAATGAATTCCGTTTTTTTATTAAAACTATGCGCTCTATCGCTAACAGTTTTCAAAGATTTTTTTCTTAGATTATCAATCCTTTTTTTTTCTTCCTCCATTAATTTCTATTCATTAATTTGCTTTAATTCTTCTTCAAGCAATTCTTTAATTTTATTTTTCATCATTTATTCATTTCTTTCTCTTTTAAGCTGCTATAATTCAAGTTTTTTATCTAATTAAGAAATTGCATTTTCAATGTTTTAATTAATAAGAACATCACTTTATGTATAATTTTATTGATTAATAATTATTTATAAAATTATCTTGTCATTTATTAGTCAAGTTTTTAGATCTCTAATTCCTCTTTTTTAATTTTATTTCTCTGTTTGATTAAAATTTTCCTTTTATGTGCCACTTGATGTAAATGCAACATAAATCTTTGTTCTGTAATAAAGTATTCTTCTTCTGGAAGTTAGAAAGTAGAATACTTCTTTTGAATAAGTTCTTCTTCTTTCATATTCAAATTCTACATAGCCTATTGAATTCTTGGAGAATTGAAATTTAGTTCTATTCCTAATAAAAATTAGACATCAAAGGTTAATTTTAATTCCATCTATTCAAGCTTAGAATTAGTCAATTCAAAAGGATCGGTAATTAATAACATTTTTATTTATTAAATTGATATTTTATTCATAAAATAGTCATTAATCTCCTTTTTCAATAGATCTGATTGAAGGAGAAGATTCTGAACCTGAATCATCTTATTATTCAATTTAAGGCATTCTACTTGGAAGTTCAGACAAAAAATGTGTTTATGTAACAGGAGAAAAATTAGTGAGACTTTTAATTTCTTTTTTCATGTTAATCCTAAATAATTAAATAATATCATCATCTAAGAATTCAACTAAATGTTAATTAATTTAATCATCTTTAAATTTTGCAAGATTATTGAAGGCAGTTTATGCTTCAATAGCTTTTTCAAGTTCAGATTGTTCAGACTTTAAAATTGAAAAATAGGAGAGTTTATTATTTGAATTTAAATCTATATTAGGTTTAGGAAGAAAATCAAATAATTTTATTTAATCTGGTGATAACAAAATCATTTTTAATTTATCAATTTCCTACAATTTTTTTACAATATATGTTATATCAAGAGAATTATTAATTTTATTCATAGAATATGAAATTAATTATTACTTTTTACCTCTAGCACAAGGAATGTAATCACAAAATGATAATTCTAATTTACTGTTTCTTTCGTCAAAAAATCGTTTAATACTGTCCTATAAAGCGTTGATCAAAAATTTATGATCATTTTTTTCAGAATTCCTACCATTTGTAGTCATTTATCTATTCATTCTCTCTAATTGTGAGGTTTTTAATTGAATTGATTTTAACCGTTATTTAGCATTATTACTAGGGTGAATTTTTTATTGCTATTCACCATTTGAATCATTTAAATTAAAATTGAAAAGCTCATTTAATAGTGTAACTTTATAAGATAATTCATTTAAAGGAGTGACAATCAATAATGCAGCTAAAAAAAAGATTTCGCATAAACCACCAAAGTCGCTTAAACTTTATTAGATTTTTGGATATGAAATTTGATATATTTATGTTAAATTATCCAAATAAAAGCTGTATTTAGCATAAACTTTTTCATCTTAAGAATCAAAATTTTCGTACAAATTATTAATAGAAAGAGATTTAGTAGTCTCCAATTCTGATAAAATGAAGCCATGATCTTATTTAATCTCAGTTATCTGGAATATCCCATTAATTCTTTTAGTGTAATATTGATTAATAATATTTTTAAATGTCTTCCCATATAACTGATGAGGTTAATTGAAATTCTTTGTATCAGCATAAGTTGATAATGTTTTGATAATTATTTCATCATTTTTGATGAACTGACATTTACTGCTACTTTATAAAATTACTAAATTACGTTTATTCGCATTGATCTATAGAAACCTCTATATACTTATAATAATCTGAATCTAAACTACCTTCTATAATTATATTAGGAATTGAATTCCAATCTATACAATATTACTTTAAAGAAGTGTTTACAAAGTAATCATGGAGCCCTTATTATTTTTCACATTTGATTAGAGGAATATTTGTTTTTTCAATTGAAGGGTTAATCTTTGTATTTGAATTATCTTCAAATATTTGACTCACTAAAGACATAGTGACATGATATGATTCCAAAAGATCATAATTCAAAGAGCTTATAGTTATTGTAAAATTTTCTTAAGACAAGTATATTGGTGGTTACTACTATGAATATGATTAGTTAGTTAGTAAAGTTGGGTTATCATGTAAAACTAGAGATGAAATAATACCAACAAATTGAATTAATAACACCGATATGATTCCCATAGTCATAAACGTGCCTAACAAAGTTCTATGTCCTCCTTATTTAAGAAGAAATAAATCAACTGGTTTAACAAAGACATTGATATATTTTAGATAGTGAATGGCCTGATCTATTTTTTTTTGATTCATTTATAATGATAATGAATTAGATTTGAAAACCTTTTTAATGAATTGTTTTAGAAAATATACTAATAGAAATTAAAACAGTAATAATTCAATCATCTTCTTGTGTTTATATAATTCTTTACAAGATTACTTTTTCTAAACCCATAGAATTTCTAAACATAATTTGTTCATTTAATCCAAATTTCTTTTTAACTAGATTAGCATGTGGAAAAATTTCATCCATGAATGAAAACTCTTGAAAATTAAAGTAAGGTTTAAAATCCTATCTTCTTGAATGAATAGCAGATAATTTATATTATTATAACTTGTTTGCTTATGAAACATAATTACATATTTATTTTTAAAGTTAGTTTTTATCTTTAGTATTGATATTGATTGAAAAGGATGGTTTTTATAATTTTTTTGTTTTAGGTCTAGGTATTTTATCAACATTCATTTTTTATCTTCTTAATTAATTAATAAGTTGAGAAGGAGGTAATCTTTGCTATCTATATTAATGAATTTAGTTAATGAGATGATCATAGGATTCATTTTCAGTTTTAATAGTAGAATTGATATGAGTTGATTTATCATCTTTAGAAACAAATAATGTTTTATAAATAAGGTTGCTTCTTTTAGTAGTGAATTAATTTTTGGATGTGGTTGGTGATAGATTAAGAGCTTGTTAATTAAATTAGATAATGGGAAGAATCTCCTTATTCATAATAATAATAAACTTATTAAATAATTCACACAACATTAATCCATCTATGTGGTTTATCACCAGTCTAAAGAAATAAGAGGAATTAGATACCTGAATTTCAGTCATCATATCAAATAATTGTTGAGACAATTCTCCAGCATTAATTTTTGGATCATACTTAATTTCATAGATTTTATCATTATATCCAATAGCTTCGATTGGTTGAATACTAACAGCAGTACCAGATCCAAACATTTCAATCATCTAGATATAAAAATACATATATACTCTTCCTTCACTTATAGCTTCAATAACTTCTTATATATACAATTTCTTTTCAATGACTTTAAATTATTTCATTTCTCGAGTTAATTCCTGAATTGAATAAATATAAAATTTACAAGTAAAGAATCTCTAACAATACCTGGTAAGATGGTACCATCAAGTTATGGTGTAACTAATTCTTTTTCCCCTTATTTGTTTTTCCAAAAGAAAAATAAATTACAAACTCCCATTTCTTATACTAATCCATCTGGTAACATCCATAAATTTTAATGGAATCCAATTTATTGTACTTCTTTCAAAGGCATAACAGTTGGTGCATAATTTCCTGCAACTTTATATCCTCCTACACCACCTGGAGCTGAACGAATCTATATTCATTATTATTAATATAATTACAGTTGTTGTATTACAAAATACTCTAACAGGTTTAAGTCCAGATGGAAAATATGGACCTACAGGACATAAAACAACAAATAATTTTGCTCTACTTGATGCTCTTACTCCTAAAGCTTCTTCTGTTGCTATTATTGTTGGTCTTATATAACAACTAAATCCTGGTCTGTCAGGTATCCAATCCTAATCCACTTTTAATAATCCCTCTATGCATTTTTATAATTCAGCCCCATCAAAGTCTGGTAATGATAATCTCTTTGCTGATTATTTCATTCTGTACATATTACAGTCTAATCTAAATGTACGAATAGATTTATTAGGACCTTTATATGCCTAATCATTAACTATTTATTAATACTTTTGCTCCTTCAAAACATTCAATTGCATAATGCAAACATGCTGCAAATGGATGAATTGAAAAACTTTTGAAAGGAATTATCTATGGACGTGACCATCTAACATATAATATATTTCATTACCCCATTTTTTCTGTCCAATCAACTTCTAACATATGATCTGTATGAAATGCTCCAAATGTCATTATTTTAGGATCACAAGGTGGTTTTGTTATATAATGCATAGTGTGAGTGGTTGTCATGTCTCTGGCCTTAAATATTTAGATTGACAAACTTACTTAAAATGATGGATATGGACAACTTAGGTCTAGATTTTTGTAATAGGAAAATCGATAAAATAACTAACCTATACATGATGTCATGATACCTTATGAACTTTTGACGTACTCATGGACCGTAAAATAAATATTTAAATAATTTGATATCTACATTAATCAATTACGCATTATGATAATACAAATTAACTCATTAATTACGCTATTAATTATTTATGAATTAATAAATATACAATCATTGACATTTTTACACATATTATCATGAAATATTCACATAAATCTTTCAATTTTTAATCCTCTTTTAACATTTGCCCCAATCTATTGTTATTCAATCATTTATTATTATTTTACAACTTTTATCAAATTTAATTAATTTATACTAAATGCAAAATTACATTAATTCCTCCCATATAACACAGAAATAACTCATCAAATATATTGAATTCAAAAATACCCCATTTACAGAGCTCTATATCAAATTTGCATAAGTCAATGATCTTAAGGAATTCTAAAAATTCATGTAAGTTAGTAAAACGCTCTCACATCTATTTGATTGCTAATCCTCTGATCTTTACTACAAAATTGCTTAAAACGATCATACAACTTAAGAACATATTACTTCAAAATAGAATAATCCTAAATTGGAGTACTCATTTGATGAGTCTTAACATTGCATCAAACTAGATAAATAAGAAAGCATAAAAATGTTTATGCAATATCTTAAATTGAAAGATCAATTCGTACCCTTTTCAATTAAGTTTCAAGAGTCTGAATTCGCATTGTTTATAGATTAACTAGAAATTTTGAAAAGCATTTTTAAGAAAGACATCTAAGTCAAAGTTATTAATAAATCGAGAGAAGGTGATCACAAATTACACCAAATGAGACAATCATACAAACAAAGAAAGAAAACATAAAGAACATAGATTGATAAAAAGAAAAATATCGTGAAATATCAAGATTAATTAGATACCAAAGAGAATTCTTTGAGATTAGATCATACTACCTCCTAAGATTCTACATTAATTAATTTAATTGAGAATTCTAATCTAAATAGTCTGATCTCTTAGAACAATTAAATCTATAAATAATTTGGGAGTACATTCATAGGAGATTAAGAATTCAAATAGTTATTCAAAAAATCTTATTTATGTTAATCTGAATATGAGATAGAGAATAAAAATGATATAATTATATTTGATTCTACTATGGGTATTAAAATTGAAATAGGACAACAAACATCAAACCTTTCCTTGAAATAAGCTATAGTAAATTTAGAATATAAAAAATACTATTAAGAAATGGCAAGTGGAAAAAATGCAATTAAAATATACTATATTGATTTGATTGGGAAATCTTATACAGAATTTAGTAAAAATCTGATTTTCTATACCAATTTTGATGTGGCATTAAAAGAGTTCAAAGAAAGTTAAGACTCTTATTTAATATAATTCGAAACATGTTCTGAGTTTCAATTTACACAAATGAGCAGTTCGTAAATTAAATTATAACAGAGCAATAGAGTGATACCCATAATAATAATAACTAATTAAAAATGATAATAGATTTTATTGTATTAAATTAATTAATATTTAACAGAATGGGTTAATCATAATCCAATGATTTTGAATAATCACGTATGAGCGTTCCAAAAATCAATTAATTAAAATTTTGGAAGTAAGTACAGGATATACGTTATGGTGATATCAAAGTTTATAAATTAAATGATGGTCATACAGTTGCGGTAAAAGAACATAACTTTCAAGATGATGAATAATGGCATCTCTTTAGATAATAAGCAGAACAATAAATGTAATCAAGATAGAAAGATCTATTCTTAATAGAAATGATGGATTTATAGTATTTCACAGAAAAAGAATTGTGCACTTAAATGACATAAGCACGCAGTGTATATGAATATTTTGATGAATATTTGGAAAGATTAATTGTAGAATAAGCAGCGTCTAAACAACATTTTGAAGAAATAGAAATAGCTGCAATGCTTCATTGTACTGTATTTATCTTTATTTATTTCGGTTTAGTTAATAACAATTCAAAAATTGAACACTTAAAATAAATCTCATGGAGACATAAGACCACTTACAATAAGTGTTACTTCATTTGTTAAAAATAGTCCTTATCGTTAGAATGAACCTTATCCAGTTTATAAATTAACCAATATTCAATAATTAACAGAATATAATGCATTCAAAAGATGTGTTACAAAATAATAAGGGAAATATAATTTGAGTCCTGAATAGATGCAATTCCTTAAATAAAAAGTGTTAATACCAAGTTATGATCTCAATAAATCTGATGTCTTTAGTATTGGTTTGACAGCGTTGTAGATGGCAACACTCAAAAATACTAATGATATCTATGACTATACTAATTATATAATCAATACAGAGAAATTAGATACTTACATTCGAGAAATGAAAACACTTTATAGTGAACAGATGTGTTCTATAGTGTGTTAATTATTATAATTAGCTCCTGAAACTAGACCTAATTCAAGCTAGGCCAATGAACTGCTAATAGGATACAGATTTCAACTTGAAGATTATTTCAGAGTATTTTGTTCATCCTATAAAGTAATCTACTATTTAAGAATACTTACCAAATTATTCAATTGATTTTAGATAATAAAACAATAATATCAAAGTTGGGTAACAAGTCGTTAGCAGGGTTGTAGACACTACAGATGTTTATGAACAATTAGAAATACTTGAATAAAGAGCTAAAATTGCACTTTAGAGAAGTTAAGATGCTTAAAATAAATGCTAAAAGACACCATCCAAATAATTAGACTAAACTAGAAGTTGCTAACTATATAGCAATCTTACTCCGATTACTTAAAAAGAGCTTCAATTATAACTAAGTGATTATAAATAAGACAATTCAAATTAATAGTCTTACTAAATTCATAATTAGCATCAATAAATTTATAAGCCCAAAGAGGAAATCAATCACTTTCAGATTCAAGATCATGAATAATATCAATATAATTAATAGGATTTAGAAGATAAACCAAAGCAAAGTGTAGTAGAATAAATAACACCTTCGAACTTAAAAAATTTATAGCAAAATCCAATTAATTATAATAGAACTCAATTTTCATAATAATAGTTATTTGAATAAACTAATAATGATGAAGTTAATTAATATTAATAATAATAATATTAATAATAATATTAATAATAATATCAAAATCAATCAAAATATCAATAGCAACCAAGGTAATCATAATTACTTAGAGATTAAGAATTGACTAAATAATTGACTGGATAATAGGAAATAAGTTAAAATTACTTGTTACAATAAGAAAATCACTTATAATCTCCATATTCTTCAAAATAAGAGATAAATTAGAGATCCTCTTAATAATTTGATTCTTAATAGCAAGTGAATGTAAGATTATCAGGTACACAAGCATAAAGAATACAAAGAAATTTGACTGGTTCGATTGTAAATGCTAGTAAATAGAATCATTAATGATTTAATAATAATGATAATATAAATATTTAATTATTATCAAAAATATTCAGTTGATAGTATTAACTATGAATTTCAGAGTTCATTTGGAATACCATGTAATCTTTCCAAATAATCCATTACTGGAGTAGTTAAGGCTGCCTATACAATGAATTGAGACACCCTCAATTACCAACCAGCATAGTACCCAATCAAACCTTTGTCTTTATAAACTTTAACAAAAGCTTGAGGGATTGTTAATTATTTATAATTTCCATTTTGTTCCATTTAATAAGCTGTCTTAACAGCATCAAATGGTTAAACCAAAAGGATATTTGGAATTGCAGTCAATAAACTACACATTCCAATTTAAGGTAAAGTAAGAGCCTGATTCGGACTCTCCTTAAAAAAATATCTTATCTTATGATCCCAATAAAGATAGTTCGTCCATGATACTACTTATTTTAAAATCATTGCTTCCATTCCTGTGTATAGATTCCTCACAAAATGAGATAAAGTTCTCTCATTTATCCATAGCTATTTTAGTACTAATATTATTATTTATATATTTACTTGATTTTGATTAATGTTGAGTCATCAATTAACACTTAATTCTTTCCAAAGGACAAGTCACAAATGATTCAAATAAGGCTATTGTTGCACCGGCTAATCCTTTGTGTAATGCTGGATGATTCTCAACCCAAGTATTAGGTAAAAGTTCTTTATAATATTTTGGTATCAATATCATCATTGGCCATCTATGATATATTTTTTTGAAATTTACCTATAGTATTGTTTGAACAATTGAATACTGATTTAAGATGAGAAACCAGCAAATACTCCTTTGAGAACACCATTTCTTCTATAAGTATCTTTGAACAATTATTTTATTGATGATTAGGTGCTCTCTGCTTGAAGTAGAGTCTTGAATCTATCAAATACATGATCAATTGGCAATCCCAGAATTACTCTAGATATACCTATAAGTTGAGTTTCTAAGATTGGTTTCAAATATTTCTAAGTGCGAACTTTGTATATAGATTCAGACATCCTTATTATATAATAATTAATTATAACACGATTGAATTCTGGTTTAATAATTTATAAAATTATCATTTTAATACGCACTATTTACATTTCATGGACTCTCTTTATCATTAATTCATAATCTAATGATGCAACATTGATTATCATTCACACTTTTTTAATTAGATTTTAAATCATTTTATAATATTCCTCATCCATCATTCATTCAATCTCATCCCTTCTACTACAACATTTCATCATTTTAAACCACTTTTATTTCTTTTTCTCCCCTAAAAACTAAAAAATCCCTTAAACTTTTACCAATTCAAGTAAGAACTACAAAGCATATAAATTATAATAATATTTGCTGTATCTTTACTCTTCATATACATTTTATGTTTATAAGCTTTTATTGTTAATTCACTTAGAGATCATCTCATCCATTCAAATCCTTCGTTAATCATCTCTAAACACAAGAACAATTCAAGAAATGGAAAATTTTAAATAATATATACAATATAACTATTTTGTTTAAATATTTCTCGTATTGACTCTCTGTCCAATATATTTTAATATGGGAACCTTCTTATTAATTTTGAATTGGATCTATGTTACGCATCACGTAAATTAGTCATAACAAAAGGTTTGAAGATTTATTATTATAAAAATAAACTATAATGAATATGTTATATATTACACTTAATGAACAACATATTAAATTTTTTCTGATTTGTAAATTCTTTTTAATAATGATAAAATTCTTATATATAGAGTACTTCTTTTATGATAATTTAGTCTCCAAAATAAGTTTACAGTTTTTGAACAATACTTTAACTCAGAAAATCTAATCACATCTTAATATTTCATAAATGTCTTAACAACAATATTATTGTTAATCCAATAAATTTTAATTCATTTATTTTATTACATACTCATCTCTAGATTTATAGTCTCTATTGAGTAAATATTAAAAGCAATTCTTAAACAAATTCTGAATGAGAAAATAAATGTCATAATCAAAAATTCTCATAAAGATATTTTCTGCTATCAATTTGTTAGTTTTTTTCTAGATTTTGAAATTTCTAAGAAAGATGAATAATTGATCATAATTTAATCAATCATTTTATTTATTATAATTGTTAAATTAACTCTTATATTATTTATAATTTAATTTAGTTAAAGTAAGCAATTAAAGACTTATAGAACTAGTATTTTTATCTTAAATAAAATGGAATCAAATATTTTTTTTGAAGATATTAGTATTATATTATAGCTAAGAATAGAAAGTAAGAGATTTAAAGAAATAATAAGATATTTTTTAGATGAGTGAGCAGAAAAAAAGAAATTTAAAGAAATAAATTGAGTTTATGTTTGTAATATTTTGAATTAAGTTATAAAAAAACGAATTAATTTTAATAATGAAAATTGCTTATTTATTGTTGTGCTTGGTTGTTATAAAAGGAATGGAATTTGAATCCTTTTAATAGGCTGTTGATTTTGATCCAGCATCAATAGATTAACCTAATTGTAAGACAGATGATGAATACACAAAAACTTATGAGGCGTATTGAAAAACAATAATGAAAGATTTTTCCCTTGGATTACAATATTAGAGGAAGGTGAAATAGAAATGCAAGAAGATCATAGTGTGTTATCATAGGCGAAATAGAAGATCATTGAGGCAAGACAATTTATTGAGAGTTTAGATGAAGGTTAATTATGTATGAAATTAATTCTTAGAACTTGAGAAAGAATAATAAAATGAATAAAATAAAGAGAATGTTCCTTAAATTGAAGATTAATAGACAATTTAAGAAGTTGTTTAAGAATAGGAAAATACAGAAGATGAATAAATAGATGAAGAAGATGATGATGATGAAGATCCTTTTGGTTGGGGATCAGGTGAAATACCTTAATTTTTAGTACATAAAAAAGAGAGAAAAGCACATAAAAATACACATGCTTTTATTCAAATAATGAATGGAAATAAGTTATCAAAATTCAAGAGTGTATAAGTAATTATTAATAAATAGAAAATTAATAAATTGATTTCAATGGCAACTGAGATGTAAAATAATTAAGATGAAAATGTATAGAATCGTAGATAAAGAAAACTTGAATTGTGTGATGAAATTATAGATGAATTAACAGATATGATCTTATTTTTAGAAAAAGTGATGAATGATTATGTAATTATGAATGATATTTATATATTAGGGATATCAAAATGAAATTTATGAATTATTTAAATAAAAGTAAAAATAGATTGAAGAGGTTGCAATTAATTGTGGTTAAAGAGTTATCAATTATTAGGATGTGAGTTTGATAGAAGAAAAGAAATCCTAAGAGAAGAAAAAGATCTAACATTAAATAAAATCTAAGAAAAGAAATGCAGTTAGTTTTTTGCAAATTGTAATAGATGATGAAGAAAGTTAACAACATTAATTAGAATACTAAAAATAAATATTATAGAGTTAAGGAATGTTAGGATTTTTGAGAGCATCAGGAAAATAAGTAAAATTGATATAATGATATTTAATAGTTATTGTTGATTCATAATAATTATTATATTGTACTATATTATATTTTCATTTCCATGTTTACATCTACACAATTTCTTCAGCAACAGATGGATGAATTCCTACAACATTATCTAGATCATTCTTTTTAGCTTTTAATTTAATAACAACACCAAATCCTTAAGTAACTTCAGCTGCATCTGGTCCTAGATAATGAAATCCAATAACAATATCATCATCTTTTTTAACAATTAATTTAGCATAACAGGTACCCTTTCTATTAGCAAAATTCCAAAATAAAGGAGTAAATTCAGATGTAAAAATCTTAAGATTTTCTCTTCCAAATTTCTTTACAGCTGCTTCTTCAGAGTATCCAACACATCCATATTCTAAAGGTGTAAAGACAGTTGTTGAAACATCTGAATATTCCATTATTTAATTTCCATTACAATACAATCTTTTTATTAATCGTTTACCACACATAATAGCAGTTGGAGTCAATTCTAATCTTCCTTATACACAATCTCCAATTGCAAAGATGTTTTAAACTGATGTTAAATCTGTTTCATTAGCTATAATCTTTCCAGATTCTTTATTTATTTATACACCAACTTATTCCAATCCTAAATTTTAAGTATCTGCACTTCTTCCTATAGCTAGTAATACTGTATCATAAATTTCACTTTATTCTTATCCATTTAATATCCATTTTACTAATCTTTTACCTTCTACATCTTCTATTGAATTTGGGATTGTTCCTCTAATAAATTTTGTTCCTTAGATTTTCATGAAATCTCCAATCCTTTCAGCCATTTCTTAATCAAATCCTCTTAAAAGAATGCTTCTTACCATTACAGTAACATCATAACCCAAACCAGTAAGAAATCCAGCACATTCCAAAGCTACATATGATGCTCCAATTACTAATGTTTTACCTGGTGCTTTCTCTAAAAGATATTATTTTTAAAATTATTACTTAATGAAAATAAATCATCTGAAGTAATAGTTAATAATTTGACATTTGGAATGTCACTTGGAAATGAAGGTCTAGATCCAACTGCTATTACTATATATTCAGCAGTAACAAATTCAGATTAACCATCTTTATCTATAAGTTCAATAGTATGATCATCCTTCAATTTACCTATAATATATAAATATACATATGTATATACCTAATTTATTATAATATGTAATTCCATTAGTAGTGACTAACCAATCATCATTAGCTTTATTGATTCCTTTGACTTGTCTTTATACTTCATTAACTAAAGTATTCCAATCATGATTTGAATGAGGATTGATACCTTACCAACCAGTGGCTGTTAATTCATGTCTTATTTCTCCAATCAATGCTGTCATATGCATTAATTTTTTAGGTATGCATCCAACATTAGGACATGTTCCTCCAGTTCCCCATTAGGTTCCATGTGGACTTGGTTTTATATAATCAGCTAATCCTACTCGTTTACCTAACTTTTAAGCTTCATCTACCACTGTTAGACCACCTGAACCTCCACCGATAACAAATATATCATATTGATATTATGGATTCATTGACAATTTTATATTCAAAATTCTTTGCAATTTATTTAATAATCAATCATTCATTTTTTTCCTTTTCTACATATCCAAGCTGTAGTTCCAATTACAACTGGCCATTTTATTGGGGCCATCAGCTTATATATAATATATGCTGCTGTAGGTGTACCAAATGTTTCAAACTATTCCCATTTCTCCTAAGTTGTATCGCATCCTAACCTAATGTTTAATAATAATAAGACAAAACTTTTATCCAAATTATTTGAAATCTACTCCTTACTTCAATGCAATATAAACTATTCCATAATTAACTAATGAAATTGAAAAATAAACACTTAATCCCAATTTGCCATATGTAGCAAAGAATTGTTTAGCTTTTTATTACATTTTTATTTATTTAATAGTATAAATAATCAAGAGATTATAGACATAAATAATTTTATTATTGAATTAGAATTAAGTTTAGTATGTCAATTAATATTTATATTTAACAATAATATTTTTATCGAAATAAATATGCAAGGAAAGCATAATTTTATATTTTCATTGGATGGAGAACAAAAATGCTTCTTTATTTCAAATTTGGATGTCTCATCTTTTTGTCGTTTAATACGTTCAGCATTTTAAGTTGATAAGAGTATTACAGCATTACAAGATGCTTAAGGTAAATGTAATAATATAATAAGGAAATATTTGTGAATTGCATTATTTCTGCAATAATTTACATGCTCATAAGGATAAGTTTTATATCATCTTAACAGATCAAAGAAAAATGGATAGATAAAGTAGAAAGTCTAATAAAAGTAAGAATTCAAAAGTATAAACAACAAATGAGGAACCTAGTTATTTTGTAGATTTTTTAGCATTCTTATAAGAAATTCAACAAATTCGATTTAGGTAATAATGATAAATAATTTATATAGTCCTCAACATCCTGTTTTAACAATAGTCTTAGTATTTGATAATGATTATTAAGCTAGTCTTTTTGGTTAGCCAATAGTAATGAGAATATATAAGGCTTTTGGATTTCTATAAGCTTATTACACGATAGTTGAGGAAGAGGAAACAGATTCATTGTTATTAACGGTTTTTGAAAATTAAATTCTTAAACATGAAATTGATATGAAAATTAATCATTCAATAGCTGAAGATGTATGTTATTAGATTGAACAATTATTGTGTGAAGAAGAGGAATCTGAACATGTATTATAGGGTAGTTTTGCTACTCCAAATAATAATAATAATAATGTAGTAAATAATAATATCCCATTGATTGTTACAAGAGGAAATGAGAAATAGATTTTATAAGTGGAAGCAAATGATAATTTTCATTCTAGTCAAGGAAAAAGAACACATGGGTATAATTTGTGTTAATAAGTGTAATGAGGGTAAAAAAGGCTGTAGACAAATTTAGAAATCGATTCGAATCCAGAGAATATGAATATCTATTAGGATTAATTATTGGTTAAGATTAATCAGTCTTTGCTGCATATCAATTATTTCAAAAATAATAAGATGATGAAAATTTCATTAGAAATCTTAAATCTCTCTTACCTCAAGATGATAATCATAATCTTTCATTGTAAAAATGTAATCGTTTTCTTAATAGTTAAAACAATCTAAGATTTATAACAAGTCCCAATCGTAGTGATTTTCATCAATCAATTAATTTCCCTTTTGATTGTAATCCTACTCCAGGACTTAGATCAACTGTTACTATAATCGAATAATTGCTAAATTCTGGAGATTTAGATTCTAGTGAATCTGGAATGTTGAGACATCTAAGAATGGATAATGAATTAGATGAATTAATCAAAAGTCTTATAGATTATCCATAAGATGTAAAATAATAATATATTATTTTAATAAGGTTTTACTTTAAATTGTAAGACAATATTTGTAAAGCCAATTCCAATAAGAAATTTCCAAAAATTTCAGTTCACATTAAATCGAATACTTTCTATCTGAATATAATAATAAGCAAAATCTTATTTATGAGGGTTTCTAGAGATTTGCATAAAATGGATAATTGTAGGATTTATTTTCACTACTCAAAGATAATGTTGGATAATTAGAACAATAATTAAGAGAAGAAAATAGTTATTCCTATTATTTGATGCATAAAGGACAAAAAGATGGTCATCATGAAATTTTTCATTTCCATTTGAATTTACCTGAAATCCATAAATAGGAAGAACGTAAATTGAGTGTAGATTCCTAATTGTTAGAAAATAAAAAAGAAATCAATTTTATAGATAAATATCATGTTAAAGTATTACAAAAATACAGTAATGAAGATTATGAAAAACTATTTATGACTGTTTATGATCAATGTAGCAAATTTTGTGATGAACATGAAAAAGCTAAATTACATGGATTCTATAATGCTTAAAATTAAAGGTTATTAGAAATACTAGACAAATATGGATAGAGATATGATATCGATTCTATTAAATCAGATATTAATGATTTATTGACTTTGTAAAATAAAAACATTGATAATATTCCTTCACCTACTCATGGAGCTGTAATTGAACCAAAAATGCATAAATATTAAAATTTCAAATTTATCATTAATTTTTTATATGAAATTGATAAAGTGATTACTTTAAGATAAGCAAAAGCCTTTTATTATTTATATTCAATTGAAGATATGTCTGTTATGGCAGCTTATGAAGTATATTGTGAAACCAAAGAATAAGATGAATTTTTAAATACTCTAAATCTTATATTTAAGGTATATTCATCCTAGTCGAGATTTGATTTTAATGAAATCGAATAATTTGATAGTTTGATTGAATAATAATAGACAATTCTATTTGCATACAGAAGATGTTTGAATTAGGAGTAAAGATTAGCTTTAGAATAAGTAATAAATCAAATAATATACTTAGAATCTGATATCATGTGATAACACTATATTGAAACTCTTTAGAGATTTCCTTCGATAGAGAGATCAAAGAGTATTTATTTAGAAGTTATCAGATTTTGCAAATAGTCAAATAGAAAAGCAAAAAGACAATTAGTCAATGGATCCTTATATGAAGAAAATCGATTAGAATAATTATCATAAAGATTTAATTAAGGATATTTGTGCAAAATTCTTAAAGTCTAAGATAAAATAAATTGATTTATTGATGGATGCAATAGACAAGGATAATAGTATGTTGAAATCATCATTGGAAGTCTATGATTTTACTTTAGATAAGTAGGATTTAGTAGAAAATATCTAGCTAATATATAATTATATTTTGAAATCAAATGTGAAAAGTATATTGAAAGAGAATTTAATAAAATTGGGAAGATCAAAAACAGATGTAAAAAATAATAATAAATGAATAATAGTTAACTTACTTATTAAAAAATATAAATTAAGATGAGCCAATTTTGAAGGGAGCATTTGAGTTATATTTTTAAACGAAGGATGAAGCAGAATTAAAGGATACTATAAGTCGAATACTGAAATTTAGCAATATATGATAATTATAATTATAATTATATGTACAAAGTTGATTTAGTAGATTCATCAGAATTCAAGGATGGTTCTAAGTACTATAAACATCTATTGAAAACATATTGTCAATGGAATGTAATAAAGTATTTGGTGTATAGTATAATATGGTTGATTGGGGGTAGAGTAAGATTGATAATATAATGTGAGAGATATCAATAGTATATTAAATACAAGGATTGTATGTAATAGTGACAGGATTTGTATTAATATTTTGTAATTTGGGAACAAGAGAGAAGGGTACTTTGAGTGCCTACAGCATATTTAATAAAGGATATAAGAAATTGATGGGATAGATGACAGAAGAAGATGTTGCAATCATGTATAATATGGGAGGAGGAAAGAAAAAAGAAGATTTAAGTGATGAAGATGATGAGAAGATATCAAAAGATTTTGAAGGATTATCAATGGAATAAATGATGGCTAAATTAAGTAAGTTAGGAAATAAATAATGTTTTTGTAAGGAAGGAAATATAAGAAATGTCACTATTATATACATTAAAGAATTAAATAATAAGAAGATGAAGAGAGAAGAAAAGGAATCAAAAAAAATTGATAATATTAATAAATGATAAATTCTTTGATCACAACTTCTGCATTTTAAAAAATGCAATAAGACTCAGTATTAAATAGAGAATGCTTTGAATGTGGTTCACCTAATCCTACTTGGGTTAGTTTACCAAATTCTGTATTTCTTTGTTTACCTTGTTCTGGAATACATCGTAGTCTTGGTGTACATGTGTCCTTTGTTAGATCTACAAATTTAGATAGTTGGTCAGACAAACAATTAAAAATGATAATGATGGGTGGAAATGATAAACTAAAAGAATATTTTACATCTATTGGTGTTTATTCGGACCCTTCTAAATAACATGACATTTCATGGAAATATAGAACTAAAGGAGCATCTTATTATAGAGAATGTGTAATACTTACTATATTTAACTTTTAGATTAAAGCTAAAACAGAAGAAAGAGAAGCTCCTTAACCTATTCCAATTGAAGAAGCATTATAAGAAGATCCTTAATTAGCTATATCAAATTCTAATCCTTTACCTAAAAAAGGAGAATAATAACAACAATATTAACCTATGTAAATGTAACCATAAGAAGATGATCCTCTTGATAAAATGAAATCATTTTTCACACTTGGATTCTAGAAAACAACTGATGCTGCTAAAGAAGCTAAGAAGAAATTAGAAGATAAATATAATGATGAAGAATTTTAATAGAAATTAACTCAATTTAAAACTGATTTTAATTAAAAAACTAATTAAGTTGCTGTATACTATCATTTCTATATTCTAGGAAAAAACTAAAGTTGCTGCTGAAAAAGGATATGAAACTGTTAAAGAAGGAACTCTTTCAGCATGGAAATTTTTAAAAGATAAATTCAATGATATTCAAAAAAAGGATCCATAACCTGAATAATTTGAAATTTTAGAACAACCCAAGAACCAATGAAATTCTATAAAAACTTGTTTTAAAAATAATTAATAATATAATGGCATTTTAATCATATTGTAATTCATAAATGAATACTAATCATTCCTTAAAAATGCCCCAAGATTAATTATTAGGAAAAGTTGTTTGTAAAAATTACTTAATAGTTTCTAAAATTAATGAAGGCTCTTTTGGTAAAGTTTATAAGGCTATCCATCAAATTAAATAAGATTATTATGCTGTTAAAGTTGAAGCTTAAGAACATAGATTAAAAAAGGGAGAGACCTTAAGATTAGAAGCTGAAATACTTAAAAAATTGAATGGAGAAAAAGGAATTCCTAGATTATATTATTACATAGAAGATTAAACTTAAAGAGTACTTGTGGAAACCTTATTAGGTATTGTATTCTTGATCAATAATTTAAGGAAAGAACCTTGATGAGTTATATAGTTTATGTAACCATAAATTTAGTTTAAAAACTGTGCTTCTCTTTATGGAATAAGCAATTAGTCGATTAGAATATCTCCATTCTTAAGGGGTAAATAATTAAGTGAGATAAAGTATTCTAGTATATTCACAGAGACATTAAGCCAGAGAATTTCATGATAGGAATTCCACCAAATGAAAATCTAATTTATTTAATTGATTTCGGACTCAACGCTCCTATTTATGATTCTCAAAAAAGACTATTACCAAAATTAAAAGGATAGCCATTAGTAGGAACTGCTCGTTTTACACCAATTTGTTCTCATTAAGGATATAGCTAAAGCAGAGCAAGTGATTTGGAATCTTTAGGTTATTTAGCAATATTCTTTCTTAAAGGTTCCTTACCTTGGATGAAGGTTGAAGCATAAACTAAAGAAGAACGTTTCTATTTAATTGGATAAAAGAAAATGAGAGAAACACCTATGTCTTTGTGGTAATATTAATCTAAATAGTTTTAGTTATGGATTACCTCGTGAATTTGAAGCATATTTTAATTATATATTTAATGTCTCTTATGACACAGAACCATCCTATAATTATTTAAGAAAATTACTCAAAGGATTAATGCATAAAATGTAATATAATGATACTGTTTTTGATTGGTAGGAAATTATTAAAAAAGAAGAAGAAAGCAAAAAGAATTCAAATAAAAAAATGAAATTAAATGCTTAAACTTAATAATTCAAACCTATTGAATCTGAAGATGATGAATAAGATAGTCCAAAAGTTGCTATGATGTAATCTAAAGATTCTAAAAAAAGTTCTTCTAATTTTCTTAAAAGAAGTATTACTGATCAATTGAATTTCTCAAAATAATAAAGTATTAATCAACGTAATAATATTGAACTTTTGATCTCATAAAATGAATTACTTAATCTTAGATTAAAATAAAAATTATTATCAAACAATATTCAAAATAATAATATTCAAGAAGAACCTGAAAATTATGGTTTTGGTGTTATGAATGAATATTATCCATATCCTACCATGTAACAATAAATGGATTAGTTGATGACTATTATTACTAAATTTATAATTAATTAATGAATAACTCTCCTCACCTTAAACTTTAAATTATTAAAATGCGACCTATTGTTTCTAACACAGAACTTGCTTTCATTAAACCAACTAATATTGAAAAAAAAGTTTCCTTAAGTATCATTCTTAATTTTTAATTTAGAACGTAAAATGAAAACTAGTGATGAATGTGTTAAAAATGCACGTTCTAGATATTAAGAGCTTTTTTATCAGTAGGAAGCAAATTTAGAATATTTGTATGATCAACTTTCAGAAAGAATTGAAAAATATACTCTTCAAAAATAAAAACAATTAGCAAACAAAGCAAAATATGCTTGTGATTATAATTTTAGATGGAAATAAAGACTTTAGGAATAAAAATGGTTAGATATTTAAATGAGTAGGTTTGTCAGCTGAAAGAGAATTTTACTTTCAAGAATTGCATTTTTAAGAGTTTAAAAAAAGACATTCTAGAAGCAAAAGCTTAGCTTTACCAAAAATTGAAATTAAAAAAAAAACAGAGCCTTGTCCTATTACAAAGAAAAAAGAAGATTATAATTTTGATAAACAAAGGAAAGTTATTTATTGCTCCTATTAAAGAGATTTAAAACAAGTATTCTTCTTATATATACTCAGATGAAACGATCATTTGAAATTGCTTCTAAACTAGATTAAGATGATCAAAGGATTATGAAATAGAAAACATTAGATATTAAACCAAAACCAAAATTACAATATAAACAAGATGATAATACATTTCTAACATACATTTGAAATCTAAATATATATATATATTTCCAATTATAATATTTCAATTCTACTAAATCCAAATTTTTCATTTTTTTCTTTCAAGCCTTCTATGTATTCCTTCCTTATCATACCAATAATAATTTCTATTCTTTTTATTTAATATATACATTATTTAATTCTAATAAATATCTTCCCATACTCCAAATCTTACTCCATTTACATAAGATCCCATACTCATAACTTAACGACTATGCTATAAATTAATTAATAACTATTTTTTGTATAATATTTATAAATCTCTATCCATTTTCCTATTTATTCACCTTATTCATTAAATTAACCACCACCCCTATTCATATAATGTGAAATTACATTATTTTGTTTTAATATTAATTTAGAATCTGTCAATATCCAATTTTAATACCATTTTGATATTCCCCTTTCATTATCAATTAGCGCTGCTTTATATTTATACTTACATTTCTGAATATTTTGGATGCAACTCTTTCCAAATTCCAGATTTTTTACCATCTTTATTATAGAAACCACAACCACTATTGTTTTTTATACATTATTTAATTATTTTATTACCACTTCCATAATCCTATTCTTATTCCTTATTTATATTTGTCTCTAATTATAATATTACTTTAAATATATCTATTAATACTTCTCATTATATTTTTCATCAAGATCTATTCAATAATCCATTTTTTGTCCATTGTCATGATACATACCTTAACTAATTATAGTAATATAAAAAAATGTTACAATTATAAATCATTTATTTTGTATTTCCATTTTAATATTCTAACACCGTAATAATATTATCCAATCATTGTTAAATATCTACAATTAAATTTAAAATATACCTATATATATTAATCATTCCTACATCTATCTAATTTCCTTATTTTTAACCATTTTAATCATAATCTCCTCCACCACTTAAAACAATCATAAAAATTTGCACTATTTTCTCTTTAAAATAATATTCCATCTACCTACTTTAATACCATTTTAATAAGTTCCCTCAAACATTGCAAAATCCCTAAATAATTATATTGAATTTACAATTAATCATAATTTTCAAATGGTTCTTTCCAAATCCCAATTTTTTTGAATTCATCAGAATATCTTCCTCCTCCACCAATAATCAAATAATCTTAATAATTACATAACTTTATTATCATCATTAAATATTTTCCAATCTTCAATTCTCATTCCATTTTTATAAATTCCTTAATAATTCTTTTAATTTTCTATCCACATTTCATGTTTTTATCCTTTTTCATTATAATATCCTCCTCCACTGTTATTAATTTTATTTAATACGTTAAATCTAGTCTAACAAAGGTATTCCATGTGCCTACTTTAATATCTGCTTTATATTCTCCTGTAAATGTAATATAACTTTTTCTTAAATGATTTAATTTTACTTCTCCTCATTATTCAAATCAGGCTCAATCTATTTTCCAACTTTTTAACTTCTCTCATTATAATCTCCTCCAAATATAATCCTATTTACCATATCTAATATTATCTTTCTTGCACCCTCTAAAGAATATATTAGAAGAATTGCCAAACTCTCTTTTTGCTTCAAAATCAACATTTAAAGTTAAATGATCTTAATTCTAAAAATAATAACTTTCTTTTGAACTCAAACTTTAAGTTCATTAAAATCAAGATTTATATAGATTCCTATTGCATTCTTGAATCATCACAATTAAATTTTTATTTTAGATCTTACTAGATAACCAATCATAATAAATTTATGTTATAATATCGAAATCCAAAAAGTAAATAATATAAAATTTAAAATATATCTAATAATGTAAAACGAAGAAGAAGTAAAGAAATCATTATATAATAGAAAATAAAACAATTATAGGCTCTTCCTATTCGTAATTATTTGGATTAAACTGTTGTGCCTATTCTTTTGTAAGCAATGACTGAAGTTGTCAAAGTTAGGTAAATAAGTATTATAAAATTAGACCACCAAATGCTATTGAATTTATAGCTAACTACCTACTCTAAAACAACCCAGAAAAAGCTTAAGCTAAATAATAATGAATAAGAGTTCAAAAAACTAATAATTATTGAAAATTATTAACCATATTTTTAACACTCTAAAAATTATACATTAAAAATTGAACTAAAAAAAAGTATGATGTCTGCAACATAAATATAAAATTTTATAGTCAAATTAAATTCATTATTTAAATATTGGATTTTTTGATATTTTATTTTCAAGCAGATTAATAAATTCATTAAGGTTGATCTAATTGTTTATATAATATAATTACCATTCCATCATTATCAGTATCACATTAATCTAAAATTTCTTACCACATTTCTTCATCTATTTCTTCATCAAATAACTCATTAAGTTCTTGTTTAGTAATTAATCCATTTCCATCTAAGTCAAATAATTTAAATGACTATTCAATTCTTTATCTGCTTAATGATTTTTCTTTATTTATAGTTGCAGTTATAAATTCACTGAAATCTACAATTCCAGATCCATTTGCATCTAATTAAGGAAATAATTCTTCTACAATAGTCTCAGCAGCTAATTTATCCCCTTTGTTAATCTTTAAATAGGCTATAAATTAATACTTTTAATACCTTAATACAACTCTTCTTTGCTGACAGTTCCATCTCCATTTTTATCTATTTCTTGGAATATTTTAAGTAAATCATCCTTTTCTTAATTTGTGACAACCTACACAGTAATAAACTAAAAAATTGCATATTTAAGTTTATTTTTTGAATCAAAATCTTATAATTTACTAAGGGTCAAACTGTTAATTTATCCTTTTGCTTTATTATTTTTGATCCATTCATGATTCATTGCTTCAGCTGCTGAAATCCTATTTACAGGATTATACATTAGCATTCTTCTAATTAAATCCTTCCCAGAGTTAGATACTTTGCCCCAATCATTTGGGTCAAATACATATTCACCTTTTTTTACTTTTATAAGAACTTCTTACTCATTTAATCCCATAAAAGGTGGATATCCACTTAAAAGTATATACAAAATTACTCCAAGTGACCAAATATCACATTTTTCATCATAATTTGCATCAAGAACTTCAGGAGCAACATAAAAAGGCTAATAAACTAAAAATGAAATACAGTTCCTATTCTTTTTTATAGCTTCTCAAAATTCTATAGTTTAGCACTTGCACCAAAATCTATAATTTTAATTGAAGCTTATTCATGTTTTTAATCAAATAAAATATTTTCTGGTTTTAAATCTCTATGTACAATTCCTTTTTAATGACAATAAGAAACAGCTGATAATATTTATTTCATAAAATTGGCAATCTATTTCTCTGTTAATATTGAAACAAGTTTAATTTTTTCAAATAACTCTCCACCTTCACAATATTCACTTACCAAATAATAACTATATGTGTCAGAAAATATTTCATATAATTTTACTATATTTGGATGATCAATGTCCATCAAAATTGCTGTTTCTTATAATAATCGTTCTTCATCTTCTTGTTTCATCTTCTCTTTCAGTATCATTTTCACAGCCCTTATCATTCCTATATTAGAGGTCGTGATGCTATTTACCAGTTTATTTATGGACTACTTTATAGACTTTACCAAATCCTCCTTATCCAATCATTTCTTTTATCAAGTAGGTATCATTTATGTTTTTTTTAGAATTCACTCTTACAAACATAGTTTGCTTTATGTTCCATTGTTTAGAACTAGTTTTCATGTAATCTTATTTTATTTCTACATCACTTATATCTTTTGTATATGATGTATTTTTTATTGGAAAACATATTTCCTTATCATTATTGGAATTACCAATTGCATCAAGATTTACTACACTTTAAATGAATTCATATTTCAATTAATCTGAAGTTTCTTTAGGAATTACTGAATTTGTGGGATTTTCTAAAGATTAAGAGGAGCAACAACCATTTGGAAAGGATTTACAGCAACCCATAAATAATTAAAATATAATAAAGTATAATAAATTTCATTATTATTTTAATTCACTCAGAAATTTAGCTATTTCAACTTAAAAATTATTAGACATTATTAAATACATTCTAAATTTATTTTTAATAGATATTGATTTTATAAAAAATAATTTATCTTTAAACATTGAATAAACTTTAATAATTGTGTTTTTTAAGTAAAATAAATGAAAATAACAACATTATTAAAGAAGATGATAATGTTAGTTGAGATTAAAAATCTTATTAAAGTGTTTTTATCCTAAATAATATCAGAAATTTAATTAATCAGAACTTAAAACTTTTGACTAATAAAATCCTCGATTTAAAGTTTAGACTTCTGATTTAGACTTTTATATAGTTTTTCTCGCTTATTCAAATTTTTCATATTAACAAATTCTCATATAGCAACCCTGTATAGTCACTAAATAATATCCAAGTACTCCAGTCATAATTTGTTTTGGTGTAAATGCTTCAATAATCTTATATAATAATAAAAATACTTTTAAAATGATTCCAAAGTTTTATATATTGCTTTTAACAATTATATATGTTAGAATGGGAACAATGTCATCTGTTCCATAATTTTTTATAGCTTCAAGTTCAGGATGTTTTTCATAATATAAGTTTATGCAATTATTGATTTCTTTGAAGGTTGAAGAAATGATTTTCAATTAATTTGTTGGTGATTATATATGCTCTAGCTATTTTAAAATATTGATTGCTGATTAATAAGGTTAATTAAGATCTCCAAAATTAGAAAATTAAATTGATGGATTACCTTTCAAGTGATTTTTTTTAGATTCAAATTATATTCCTAATTCTGTGTTTAATTATAATTATTAATTAACATCAAAATCTTCAATTTTATAATTTTTTAAGATATTTAAGTTAAATTAATATTAATAGTTTTCAGATGAATAAAGTTCAGAGAAACTCTTTAATATTTTAAGATAAATTCTTTCATCCAAAAATAGTATATTAATTACAAATGCTATTAAATTAACTGCAGTAAAACAATTTAATAATTGAGGTTATTAAATAAATTTGTCCATCATATAGTAACTATCTATACAATTTACAAAGAATTTAAGAAATTCAATAATTTCATCACAAAGTTCAGTGCTTTTGATTAATTGATCTTTATATTTATCTCTTCTAAAAGAATCTCGAAACCAAACTTAAGATCCAGCATAATTTACAATATAATTTTAAAAACTTGATAAAATTAATCCACATGGATGATCAGCAATTTTAATTTATTGATTGATAATTCCCATAACTTCTCTAAAGAATTATTTCTCATTAGTACGTGATTTTTTTCTATCCTCAAAAATAGTATTGGCTTCTTCTTCATAATATTCAAAGATATTAATTTTGGTTTATTCATTTTATTCAAAATGGTTTGAAATTTAACTTTAATAAAAGAAAGAATTTTTTTCATAACTACTTATAATCATTCTTATTTTATTTAAAAAGATTGCTTATTGATCATCAAAATTCTTTGTATCTATACTTTGCAATCTTAACTTAACTAAATCTGCCCATGAATAATGTTTAAAATCCCCTTTATTTAATTTCCTTTAGGTATAATCAATCCAAGAAAGTTAGATTTCAACAACTTAAGTTTTGATTAGTCCAAAGCAATTGCAACATTATGATAATTAATTTTCTTAAATCATTATTTTTGAATTTTCAACTTCTGATGACTCAAAAGTCTTCGAATGTTGGCCTGATGTGAATAGAAAATATACTTATGAGTAATTCAGAAGAGTCTTTTGTTTCACCTTTTTGTGATTTATTTCCCATAATAATAATATATATATATTAAAATATTAAGTGAACTTTGTGAGACTCTAGATACATAAAGAATAAGAAATAAAAGTAATTAAATCAAATTAAAATTGATAGATGATTAGAACATCTATCTAACTTACTGGCTTTAAAGGTTTATGACTTAAAAACGATCTAAATAATTTTTTTATTAATTAAATAGATTAATCTCTTTATTTATGTTAATAAACACAAAAGATAACTTAAAGATGTTTTAGAATTAGACATTAATAACAATATAAAATTAAGAAAATATGGATTAATATTATTAATTATATAAAATATGATAAAATCATTGCCATCTCGTAATAAAATGTTAATAGAATCACCATTTGTGTGGTTGAAAGAGAAAGCAGAGAGAGATCGATAAAATACAGGGTAAAATTGATTAAATTTTTAGAGTCTCATCTAAATTATGGTATGTAAAAGGTAAGATCTATGATTTATCTGAATTTGTAAAGTTACATCCAGGAGGAGATTATTTTATTACATTAACATAGGGTTAAGATATTACAGAAATGTATTATAGTCATCATTTGAATATGGATAAATGCGATACAATTTTATAGAAATATTATGTTAAAGATGCTGATAAAATTGAATAATACTTCGATTATGATGAGAAGGGTTTTTATCCTACATTGCATAGAAAAGTTAGTGATTATTTCAAAACTAGAGACAAAGGACCAACATCAATAATGAAACTTGTTGTTTTTATAGCTCTATTTTCATTTCTTATGACATTCTTATTAACATGTGTTTATTAAAGTTATCTTTGGGCATTTTTATGTGGATATACTCTATATGTTTGTTTTGGATTGGCACATAACTTTTTCCATTAAGGTTCTTATGAACCTAGAAGATATTTGGCTGATTTATCATTCTTTTCACATTTTCATTGGGCAATAACTCATTGTATTTCACATCATCATTTTACAAATAGTAATATAGATTTAGAAATCACATTATTTGAACCATATTATAAAACTTAAAAATCTAGACTTCCTAATAATAAATTCTTACCATACTATATAGATGTATTTTTTGCATTAGCAAGCACACTTTAATTTATTTCTACTATTTAATTAATATTAAAATGTGAGGAAAGATTAAGGAAAGAATATTTTATTCCAATAATTGAATTCTTAATCCTTTATTATTTTTGTGCAGATGCTTTTGATGGATTTAAACTATTTATGGTTATACAAACCACCTCTAGTTATCTTACACTCAAATATTCATTGATTACTCATCATAATAATCTATGTTATACTGATGGTTGTTCAATTATTCCATCCAGAGATTTTGGAATATACACTCTATAAACTAGTCAAGATCATGATCTACAAGTCAAATTCCCATTTAATATGTTTCTTTTCTAAGGATTTAATTAACATATCTTACATCATTTGTTTCCTACTGTGGATGAGTCTAGAATACCAGAAATTCAACATTTGCTTATACAAACCATTCAAGAATTCAAATTATAACATCTCTACAAAATACGCACTGTTACTGAATTATACAAAGCTCACAATGATTTTGTTTTTGGAAAATGAATATTCCTTATTATTTAAATATGGGTGATCTAATTTTCATCACTTATATAAAATCTATAATATATAATATCATTCCATATTCTAATTCAAATTTATATCTATTGTTACTATATTACTTCAATTTTTTATTAAAACTGTATTATATTCTATTATTAATATGAGAACTTCAACTTTCTATTCTAAGTTCCTAGCTGTGTTTTAAACTTGAATTCCTCAAAATAAAAAATTATTTTTATTTAGTCAATGTATTCATTTTTAGCTCAATTTTAACAATTGAAAATAATTAATAGAATTTTATCATTTTTAAATTAGGCCAGAAATAATTAGCCATAGGTAACATCTCACTGTGTTTCACTAATAGAACTTTTATACTGTGTATATGGTCTAGAATACTCTCAGTCATTATAATAGAACCAAGATATTTTATAAATTATTTTTATATTATAAATTTTATATTATAAATAAATGAAAATCTGTCTTTAAAATTGATAATTAGGTTCTATTTAATAAAATCTATTATTATATCATTTATATCCTAATACTTCTACTTAAATTGAAAAATTTCCCTTAGGAAAACTGCCACATTTACTTACTTCAATTATTTTACTATCATCAAGTCGTAAGGTGCAATTGTCACTAGAAGTATTCCAAGCACCTTGATGATATGGATGTCCCATAACTTTAATTTTATCTACCTTTGTAAATAAACTCCAAGTAACAGTGTGATCTCCTTTACATTCTCCAGATTGTAGAGCTATAAAGAGCTTAACTTTTCGGGCTTAAGCAGGTAATTAAGCTAAGCAAAAAGAAGTTGTTTTCTCTTTAATGTCGAAAATAATTGGATTTGGTAGCAAGTTCCATCCAGCTTGATTTTACATGATTACTGTATATCCAACTTATATTGTTAATAATAATATCCAATTTGATAATTCTATCAAGTAAAAAAAAAAAAATATCCTAATAGAATAAGAAAAAATTAGAGTAAATAGATTAATGTTGGAAAAAATATGTAAATTTGTATTAATGGTTTCGAGAGTATCTCCTTAAAACAAACCTCTAACATCTCTTTACCAACAATAAAAACTTTTGAAAATAAGCTTTAGATTTTTCCACACTGACAGAACATGAACTCAAATCAGCTTCCAATTATTAATAATGAAGAATTATAACATAAAATTTTATTTTTTTGCTTTTCTATGAAAAATATTGATCAAATTGAGAAGTGGATTTTTGAATTTTTATTCAAAGGAAGGTTTTTTTATATTTAATCCCTGTGCTTGAATTCACATTCTTTATCCTTAATGATTATTTGTATTACGAAAAAAATTTTAAGTTTTTTTATTCTCATTAATTATTTCTTGAAAATTTTGAATATAATTAATTTGTTATAAAAATTCAATAATTGGTTTTTTAACATTCGTTAGTAATTTAATAGTTTACTATATTTGCAAGAATTTAAAACAAGATAATTATTCACAACTGATAAAATATCATATTAATTAGTTTTCATTTATATTATAATTATATTTAATTACCTTCATCATTTTTTATTTCATTAATCAAATACCTTTTTATTTATACCATCGTCTATTTCCACTAAAATCAATAATCTATTGAATATTTTTAAAATATTTCAAAAAATCTGCTCAGTTTCTCCATAAAAATCTTTTATAACCAATTATCGATTCAAATGTATTAAAAAATTTAAATACATATAACTTTATCTTTACGTATTTAAGGACTGTTTTTTGATGTAATTTCTATTTAAGATATAAATTAAATATTTCAAAATGGATTAAATGATTAATTTATACAAACTATAACAAGTTAAAATTGATTAAAAAAAGTATTCAATCAAATTATGATAAAATTTAGACTTTTATAGCCCCAAATGGATAAGCTTCTTATTAAATTATAAATACTAAGGTATTTAAGAAAAAATATTTTATTAAGAATAAACTAATTTGAAATTATTTTTATTTGATCTAAAGGTTGTTTTCACTTCCATATAACTAAAATAAGGAAATCTAAGAGTTGTTCTTTTTTATAATAATAAAATTAAAGGCAAGTTTTGTTTGTTCCATCTCTTGCATTATTTCACACTTACATTTCTGATTCAAAACTATTGTTAAAATAAACCTTACACAATGGATTATTATGAATGATCATTTATAGAATTTTCAAGACTAACATTTAAAAACCATGGGACGGTCTTATTTTGATATTTCATTATTTTTTGTATCACTTTAGAATGACGTAAATATGGACATACACTTAAAGATAATACATAATTTAATTTCTTTATGAAGTTTTTCTTTGAAATGATTCGAAATTAAGAAAATAGGACCATTATATAATAAATAAACGAATTTGCAAAATTGGAATTTATGATTGTGTTAATTATTGAAGATGAAGATTTATACTTTATTAAAATTTTTACTTTGAATGAATTCATTCAAAGATGATGGAATTTAGCTTCAGGTATAAACATTAGAAAATATATAATATTAGACAATATTTGAATAATTTATTTTTATATCATAGGATATCTCATTGAGATCAACGATATTGCCTCTAGTGTTCGAAAATGATGAGTTTTACCCAAAAAGTATGATTTAGTATTTTTAAATTATAATCGAAAAATTTCAACAAGAGAGTTCTAATATAAAGAAGGAATGCTTTATTAGATGAACTTAGAAAATGAAATCAAATATATTTGAATTCGTATAAATATATTCACTCATCAAATTTATTTTGCAAATACAGATCCGAAATTAATTGATATTGGCCTAGTTCTTTAGCTTGAAATTG